CAATTCTACATTAAACATCCTTAGAAACCAATTCTTTTCCATCGCTGACTGATTTGTCTTTTTAATTAAGAGTCTGAAATTTTTTTCCATGAACTCTTTTAACATAATCGCTGAAAATAAAATTAGTAGCCAAATAAATAAGGAAGGAATATCTTGAACTGTAAGACATTTTGAATATTTAAGTTGATTTTTATCTTTTAAACAAATGGTAAAATATAAATTCAATGTATGAACTAAAAAAGCATTAACTCTATAAAGACTTTGAAAGTTGAAATGTTTTAGTAAACCAGCTTGCACACATATACCTCTCCAAGGCTAAAAGTACTTAACTATTTTTACAACTCTCTTTTGGTTAAGTTCCTAATTTTCCAATTCTACATATCTTTTGTGTATAGGTTTTTATGCCAGAACAGATTTGAAGTAATTTAATTATTGTCATTTGTATCTGAAAACAGTTGAAATTATGTACCTCTTTTTTGGCAAGCAGAATCAAGATCACCACAAAAGGGATCTAAAATGTAAAGCCTATAGTATACATTTTTACCTTCAGCAGGAAGAAATCCCCCAAAGTAGGTTAGGAATTAACTGTATGCCTTTAATTTCTGAACTGTAGTTTATGTGACAATTTAGTGGTTAATCATTAATCCTCGTAAATGCCAATTTTTGTCCTGATCAGGACCAAACTTTAGAACACCTACTTGTGCAATTCAAGTGGGAAAAAGAATCTGACTTAATCATTTGTCTGCTCCAAAACATCTCTTACGTTGGGTAAACTTACACATTTCCAGTGCAGCTTTAATGCACATGTGGGATGAACAGAATCTCATTTTTGTAGATCCAACACAAATACTCAAATCATGGTAAACATGAGGAGAGGCAATACTGTCAAGTAAGCCAGAAAGGTATTTTATTTTAGATTTCATATGAACATCTAAGTTTTCTTGGACATACACTTTTCCAATCTGTATATCATTGTTTTCTAAAGTGCCTATGGACAGAGCATAACAACAAAATTTCTAATTTCTTGAAGTAGAAAATGTTGCTATTATATTCATTTTTGCAAATACACAGTTCAGTTAACTCTTACACAGGAACATTATGCAAATCTTTCTAGAACTTGTGATACCTTCCTAAACAAGGTTTTAAATCATCTGGGAAGTGAAGTCACCAGAGACAGCTTCTATGCACTCTGGACTGACTCCTCTCAGAGATGATTTAAGAGGTTTGTTTTAGAGACACTCAGGGCATACACGTTCTGCAGGGATCTGGGTTTTTGTGTATAGGTTTTTATGCCAGAACAGATTTGAAGTAATTTAATTATTGTCATTTGTATCTGAAAACAGTTGAAATTATGTACCTCTTTTTTGGCAAGCAGAATCAAGATCACCACAAAAGGGATCTAAAATGTAAAGCCTATAGTATACATTTTTACCTTCAGCAGGAAGAAATCCCCCAAAGTAGGTTAGGAATTAACTGTATGCCTTTAATTTCTGAACTGTAGTTTATGTGACAATTTAGTGGTTAATCATTAATCCTCGTAAATGCCAATTTTTGTCCTGATCAGGACCAAACTTTAGAACACCTACTTGTGCAATTCAAGTGGGAAAAAGAATCTGACTTAATCATTTGTCTGCTCCAAAACATCTCTTACGTTGGGTAAACTTACACATTTCCAGTGCAGCTTTAATGCACATGTGGGATGAACAGAATCTCATTTTTGTAGATCCAACACAAATACTCAAATCATGGTAAACATGAGGAGAGGCAATACTGTCAAGTAAGCCAGAAAGGTATTTTATTTTAGATTTCATATGAACATCTAAGTTTTCTTGGACATACACTTTTCCAATCTGTATATCATTGTTTTCTAAAGTGCCTATGGACAGAGCATAACAACAAAATTTCTAATTTCTTGAAGTAGAAAATGTTGCTATTATATTCATTTTTGCAAATACACAGTTCAGTTAACTCTTACACAGGAACATTATGCAAATCTTTCTAGAACTTGTGATACCTTCCTAAACAAGGTTTTAAATCATCTGGGAAGTGAAGTCACCAGAGACAGCTTCTATGCACTCTGGACTGACTCCTCTCAGAGATGATTTAAGAGGTTTGTTTTAGAGACACTCAGGGCATACACGTTCTGCAGGGATCTGGGGCTTGAATGCTTTACATTCTAAATTGAGCTTCCCTGGACCATGCAATTTTGTACCAGGAAATCTTACAGGATGACTGTTCTTGAGAAGAGCATGAGATTATTGTGCTGCGTATATCAGGTGGCATTTTTACTAAAAGGATTGAATTTTAAATTCTGATGACTCAACATTGAGGACCTGGTTATGCTCTAATTTTGTGGAGATTATTTTCTCAGAAATATTGGCAGTAGATTTACTAATCCACCTGTGGTGCAAATTAGATATGGCTCCTATGTTGGTTTTCATTTGGTTATTTATTTGGCCCAGTGTATTTCTTACTGGTAACTGCTACACTGCACATTTCAATTTCGAATCTGGGTATTAGTTTGAGAACTTTATGGTAAGATGGACCCTCTGCAATTGCTAGTACTTCTATTTTCACCTAATACTTTCATATGGAGCTAATATTTTTTAAAGTGTTAATTGCATTTATTTTCAGTGGATATAAGTTTAGCTGAGAGTTTTTCATTGAATCAAAAAGTATGCCTAGGTAAATACTTCTTAAATAAAGATGAAGTAAATATGTGAAAATTTGGCTAGTAACTGCTTGTTTAATAGCATGTTAAGTTCTCAAAATTATAACCACTTTCAGTGACTAATGTGTTCCAATGAAACAATTTTGAGACCATTACATATATGTAGTATCTCTTCAGTCATAAGTGAATAATGACTAACTGGATGACAAAACACTGAACACCATAAAAGACTATATAGAGAATACATCTGACTTTCCAATTCTTAAACCAATTTTTTTTCTGAAACAAGTTTTACATAAATAAGCAACACTGAATTCTTTTATACAACCTATACTAATTCATAGAGTATATGCAAGAAAAATTAGATTGTGAGCACATTTAAAAGGAAATTTTGTTACATGACTAGATAGAGTCTATTACCGTTAAGAATTATGTGCTGTAAGATGCAAAGACACAATCTTGTGAGAAAAATTCAAGATCCCTGTACACTGAGAAAGGCAGCTATAGCCAAACAGAGCCCAACATATACTTCAAGGGAAACTTCTGCAGCTGAATGAGATAGCTAAATATTTATATGTATAATGTCTGCTGGCTTTCAGTCTTTGTAAAAAGTAACATCATGTTTCTCATCATTTTGTATAGAAAATAAAACTTCCGGAATTTCTTTCATTTAATATTTATGCCTCCTTTGAGGTAAAGAGTTTCTTTACTTTTAAGAATACATTCAGGTTGGGGAGAGAAGAAATTGGAGGAAGGTGGTCAAAAGGTGCAAACCTCCAGTTGTAAGATAAATAAGTACTAGGGATGTAATGTACAAATTTTGACTATAGCTAGCACTGCTATATAATATGTAGGAGAGTGGTTAAGTGAGTAAATCCCAAGAGTCCTCACCAGAAATTTTCCTCCTTTTCTTTTTATTGGATCTATATAAGATACATGTTAGCTGAACCTACTGTGGTAATCATTTCACAATTTATGTAAATCAAACCATCACGCTGCACTTCTTAAACTTATACACTGAAACATGTCAATCATTTCTCAATAAAATTGGAAAAAAGACCCTAACATCTACAATATAGACATTTGGAGATGACTGTGAAAATTTGAATGTGGGCTGATTGTTTAGATATTAGGGAATTTTTAACTGTAGTGATAACAGAATTGTTATACTGCAGAAGTCAGCAATCTATAGCTTGTGGTCCAAATACATACTTTTGTAAACAAAGTGTTATTGAAACCTAAAAAGAAAACATGTTGAATGATGAGAACATTTGGTCACTCATATTGTTTGGGGTTTTGTAATGCAGATCGTTTGACTCTTTTCCTTTCATTTTAGACTCTTTCACCAAGAGAAGTGGAGGGGGGACTGATTTAATTCTGCTGGCTTTTATTTATTGATGCTACACTTGCCCTGTATTAACATAATGTTACTATCACTAATAAGCAAATTTGCACAATTAGAAGTAGTTCCAGGCAAGTTCTTATGAATTCTATCTGTTTTAAATCCAGGGACCCTTCAGTTTCCTTGCTACCTAGCCTCCATCTCCTGGAAACCCAGATATCTTGTTAACTTTCCTGACAAGTTACTTGAGATAAGCTTTGGCTTAATAAAATGTCTGGCCATTTGGATTCATAACATTTTCTTTTCTAATCACTGTATATACAAATGTGCTGCATCACTGAACGAGAAGACCCCATTTAGGAATATTAATACTTAAATACTCCCAAATACTGTGGAACGAATATTTAAGAATATATTTAAAAATAATTTGTATATATAATTGGTATCTAGGATGAATTCTTAATTTCAATTATAGGCCTTACTCCTCCTATATTCTCATTTCTCTATAGAGTAGTGTGAAGAATCGACTTTCAGAATCTTTATTTGGGCCGATGTTGAAGTGAGGCAACCATCTGTACAACTCATCAGAAAGATGAATGCACTTGAGGAGAACAGTTTTGCATGGACTATCTGCATAATTGCTTCAGATTTTCATATTATGTGTAACTTTATCTGGAATAAAATACCCAACTCCTATCCATTAACAGATACCTATTTGCTAATAATATTCATTATTTTTTGGTATTCAAAGTTTACTTATATGACCTCCAGAGCCAGCTTTTATTAAATGCATGTAGATTCTTATTCTTTGATTATTAGAGATCCCCGGTTTCTATATAAGGCATAATGTCTAATTTAATTATATACACAGATGTCCATATTAGTTACATTTTGATTAATCATTCAGAAAAATTCATGCGAGCTTCATATGAACAATTTCCTTTACTTTTCCCGAAAGTAATACAGCAGAGGCTGGAAATGAAAAGGTTTTAACTGTAAATGAAAAGTTGTATTTTTAAAATTAAATGTGAAAACATGTGCCAAATAAGGGACATTTATGTACAGCTTTATGGCAACTTTTCCCATTACATGAATAGCTCAAGTATTTGTACAAAAACATCAAGTGATAAATTCATTTGAGGATAAATGTAATAATGGGTATGTGTATATGTGCATGCACATGCATGCGCACACACACACACACACACACACACACACAGATTTACAAAATGTGTCAGGTAGCTAGTGACCATGACTGAATTAAGAATAGTAGATAGTAAGGTCATCCCAGATTCCAATTGTATTTATACATAAGCTGTGCATTTATAAAAACCTTACAAATATTCTATTTTACCAGGATGACATAATAGGTATAACAATTTAGGACATATAATAAGAAATTCTTAAAATCACAATTAGATAAGCAGTTCAATAAGATGATGGATATCATGAATAAAGAAATTAATAAAGACTTTTTCCATTTTTTACATGTCCTGTATTCACTCTAACATAGTTTGTTAAGTTTTTAAATTGTCTTAATGCAAGGAAAGCAAAACATTGTGAAATAAGATCTGATAGAAAGCCATACACGCATTGTAAATATCAGTAGATTATATCAAGAATATTTCTAAGGTGTTACTAAATTTAAAGGGGATTGTTTTCAAATTATGTAAACTGAGCAGATGACTCGAATTCTTGTTTCCCAAGAAGGCAATGGCTAATTACATCTTAATGAGCAATGTAGTGGACATGATGGAAATGTAGTGGACAACATGTTTTATTGTGTTCTGAGAACATTGTGAGGAATCAAAATTTCACTTTTCTTGGAGATACACTAAGGTCATTTGGTGCAAAAGAGAAAGTGGGATAAAGTTTTACTTAACAGTAAAAGTAAAAGTCTTCTATATAATTTTTTTCTAGAAATACTAATATTCTCCTTTCTCATGTTAATTACATTCATTTTAAAAATGAAATGGTAAATATTTTTAGGAACACATTGTAACATTTCAATGATTGGGATAATCAAAATGAGTCAAATTTATCCTGAGGGTTGTAAATCTGCAAAGGGGAAGAGACAAACTGCAATTCTGTACATGAAAATACTTGGTCCCACTTAAAAATATACAGTGTCTACAGCCAGTATTTCCTGTTGAAGGACATAGACATCAGAAATATTCACATGAAATTACTCACAAAAATTATTTTTCTTCTGTTTAGGAAGACCAACTATACTAAGTTAACAGGGAGACTTAACAGAGGAAATTCTCCTTAGGAGACTTATTCAGATGAGAATTTCTCTTTAGAATATAGTTTAGAAAAGTAGTTAAAAAGGCCACAGGTGATTTTCACCTGCAGCTCATCTCTTTCAATCTGAATGGGTAAAGTTGACATTTTTGGTGAAATAAATCAGTAAGGTCAATTCAATTTCTTGTAAGAAAATGTACATTAAAAAACTACAATTATGGGTGAGTTCTGGCAGGGAAGTGACCAAGGATTAAATGATCATTTATGCTCTTACCTTTAGATGCAAGACCTTCATAAGAAGGCCTAATGTGGACAATCTAACATGGGCATATTAAAGCCGAGCATAGGAGATTCCATCTGCTTATGTCTTGTATTACTCTCTTTTCATCCCAAATCACTTTTATCAGCTACTTTACCAATGAAATAAAAAGCAATTGAAAGGAAAGAATTAGGTTTAATAGTCACCAGTTGTTACAACAATGTAAATCATAGAAGTTTTGTGAGCAAAATTCATACCACCACCTCCAATACATGCATGCGCATGTACACACATAAGTTTAGTATGCAAAATGGAAGCGTACTAATAATGGCTCACCATTCTTTCTTTTACTTTCCAGTAATTCTCAAGGTATGAGCCACAGACCCAAGGAGCCTATTATACATATTTGCAATTAGGTACCACTGTTGTAAGCAAACTCAGACCTCCTGCTTTTTATGGCAAACAAGAAACTTATTCTACCAGGAAGGGTTAAAAAAAAGAAAAAAGAGAAGATGAATCTACTTTTTGGAAAATATGTGGCAACAACCTCCTCTTCCCCATATTGGACTTCTCCCTCCCACACACACTCATGCACAACTTGCATTAATTAGTGTTTTCAAGGAAAGGAAACGATAGTACATAAATCACAAAAATGAAGGGAAAACCAGTGTTAAAATACTATACCAAGGTCAAGTAGCTATGATTTGTGGCACTGTTTCTAATTAACAGTGATAATCAGGAAATGGAAATTGCAATTATTACCCTTGGGAAAACTATGTACCATATGAAGAAGAAAACTGTAAGGGCTGAGAAGGCAAAACTGTTCCGCCTCTATCTTATTTCTACTGCAGGATGTGGAAATTAGGAAGAAAGCATGGAGAAAGCCATTGAAGAAGCCAATCTATACTTACTTCATAGTATTAAGGACTCTGGAAAACTCTCTGCCAAAGGAGCAGTTCTGAATGCTTTCCCAGAATGACATGATGGAAAAGCTGTGGGCAGATTTAGGGCTTCCTCATCTCCCAAACCAAACTCATTTATTTTCATTTGCTATCTTTTAAACTACAGGAAGTGTTACCTGAAGGATCCTTGAAATGGAATAGAGTTTAGATATCTTAGAGAGTCATAAAAATAGAGATGAAAGTTTTCTCTATTTTATTCCTGGAAGGAAAGTGGTGTTTGGGCTTTCCATGGCTCAGGGAGCAGAACTGACTTGTTAATCTCTTGACAATAAAGGAATCTGAACCTCAGATTCCTAGCTGTACAATTCCTACTCATCAGCAACTGAGTCCAAATGGAACATGCGTAAAGGAGCACTAAGATTCACCCATCAAATGTGTGGGGTGTTACAGATCAATGGCACTCTACAGCCTTTGCTTCCATGAGAAACTTTGCTATAAGAAAGACAGTTAAGAATATACAAACCTGAGAAAGAATTTGACATGTATTTTCAACTGTAGTGAGTTGGGTAGAATGCAAAGCAGAATAATGAGAATTAATGTTTTGACTTATTACTTATTTTCACATTTCATATGGGTATTTTATATGTTCAATGTAGACAAGAAGTACTGATACTATCACTGTGAGGTGTAATGTGTAAAATTACCTCAGCAACAGGTAGTATATATCAAGACCAACATAAATGCATGGATGAAATGGAAAATGAGAGAAAACGGTTAAATGATCCTATTACAACAGAAAGGGTAAGGTTTAAATGATTCAAAATGAACAAAAATTAATATACAGATATTCTATCCTCCATTCAGTGCATGAGAAAATTATTTGATATTAAAACTAAGTATCCTTATTTTCTGTTTTTTTAATACAATTTTCTCCTCAAAAATAAAATTTTCAACTATTTTGGGAATTTAAAAAAGTTTAAAATAGCTATTTTAAATCTGGATTCCAAGAGAGAAAAAGAAATAAATACTTACGATGAGTTGATCACGATACCTTGAAAAAAACAAATTTTACTTTTTTTGACCAAATAGGCTAGACACAATAGGAACTATACTTGCCATTCATTTCCCAATTGTTACCCCTAAAATAAGGGCAAGTAAAATCAGGCTCATGATTCTTTGTGATAATTAGAAACAATACCTTCTTAGAAGGCAAATAAAACAAATTCAAGGTTACTAACAATGGAGAAAAAAGTCAACAAAATGCTTGAAATTTCTAGCATTATAAAATTAAGCTTGATAATTATAGGACTATCAATGTTCACACAAATGTCATAAAAATTGGAAGTAAAAATTACTCTTGGTAAATTCATGTGTCTATACAAGGCGTCATCTTCAGGTTACCTTGGCTTGAGTTAAAGATCTTTTAGTTTGAATTTTTCATGGAAGTTCACTACAGCTTGAAAGCTGGAAGCTCTACATCTCCCGCACACTGAAATAATTAATGGTGACTTGCTTAATTAGAGTTTAAATCTGGAACATAAATTTAATTCAGCTTCTTTTTTTTCCCCTTGACAATTCTGCCCAGCATCCCTGTCATGCACAAGCAAAATCTTTATTTTCATAAGGAATAAGTTATTATGGATTTGAGAGAAATTCTGAGACTAGGAACTAGCAAATATACTGCTAAGTTTTTACTTCAGAGATTATAAACTTAAAGAAAGGTTTTCTCTTACCTGAGATTAAACAATGCTTTTCAAAGTCTCTGGAGTTTAGATATACAGTTGATGTTTATCAATAGTTATTTGTATCACAATTTTAACAGAAAGGATCAGCAACTGATCTTTTTGAGTCTAAAATTAAAGTCTTCACACTTTTCTATTATGATTTTGGTGTTTGTATGTATGGTTAAACACAAAACCCCAAAAGATCTGAAAAATGCCATAGAGCTTTCATAAGGGAGGTGTGTGCTATTGTTTTTCTAATGTTTATTCATTGTTTTCTAAACAGTTACACAATGTAGATTTAGCCTGCTGAAGTCAATGTCCAGATGAAATATAGTTACTATAAATGATTTTCCACTAAATAAGTCATACATCGAGGGAACAGAGCAGACGCTCTGCTGCCAGTGAGAAGGTATGCACAGAAGGGACTGGAATCAGTCAACTCTGCTGATATTAAGCAAGATATCTGGATAGAGAAGTAGCACTCCAGAGCCCCTGGGTGTGGTAAAAACTTTTCCCCTTGTGCTGAAAGTCTCAGTTATTTGAATAGATCTTCTTTGCAATGTCTATGTGGAAATGTTCACAAGAAGTCTGAATAAAAATCAGATACCATTTCACATTAGTATGCTATTCCTAGTGAGAAGTGACAAAATCAAGCTAATGGTTTTGCTATCACTTCTGGGCTTTATCATGATAAAGAGAAAATATGTTGCTAAAAATATGACAACCCCTGTTATTTTATTGCTAGTGGTCTAAGCAATTGGGGCCAATTAATGATTTTCTGTATCATCTAAGACAAACAAATCAAGAATTCCATCTACAGCAGTTATTGTAGAAATATACTGTGTTAGGCCCCAGTTAAGCTTCTGTTGATTTGAAGTATTTTTCCTAAATAAAAGGTACAAAAATACTTTTCACTGAAGGTAACTGAGAAATTGATTTGACATAAAGATGAAGACACACTTTGTTTTGAGACAGTACACTTTGTGATTCACAGGATAACTTGCATCAGACGCAATTTAATGAAAGCTCTCAAATAAGCAATTTTATTCCTATCCATGATTGCAGACATTTACAAAACCATAACATCTGAGTTCACCTTAAAAAATAACTTATATAAAGCAGTGATATACACAGCACAAAATAGTTCAGGGAGGGGCAGGAGCAACTTTTAATAATTAAAATGTAAACGTGAAAAAAAGGATGGAATAAAAGTCCCTACTTATTTCTACTTAAGATGTCATGTGATAATATTTTACAATGTCCTGTGGGTCAATGTATGTATGTGTATATGTCCATATAACATACACATATACAGTACATTCTCTTTCCCACACATATACATACACAGATAATTATTTGCAGTTCAGTTTAGGGCAATTCTAATATGCCACTCTGTACAGTTGTTTGAATCACGTTTGGACCCGCTTTCTTCACAAAATTGGGGAGAGAGCAGGGAATCAAAAGGTTGGTTTGGTGTGACTGAGATTCCTTTAGCTGTACACTGTGATGACTAATTTTCTTCTGTAGTAGTTCTGGAAGGGCTGACTCACTGGTTTTCATGAGGAGACTTGGTAATGGATCACACACTCATTGTCATGCTAGGGGAGTACTAGAAGGAAAGAAGAATATGTATTTTAACAACAATTCTTTTGCAGACCACTAATGTTCTTCTTGGTAGACAACAATAACTGGGAATTTTAATGTTTTATATTCACTTATGCTCAAGCTTTTAGCCCACACAACAAAAAAATAAGGAACTATAAAAGGAGTAAATTTACATAGAATTGACATAGCCTGAAATTTTTAATATTCCTTCTGGAAAGGAAGCAGTCCCATTCTTTCCCTGGACTTAAGTGGTTGATAATTACTCAGCCCCTCAGCTTTTTCCTTCTAGCCAGACTCATGTTCCATGGGCTCTTGTAACAATTTGGGTCAATCCAGTCCATGACTGAATCATAATGAAGTACAAGGGGCAGTATTGCTACCTACTAGCTACATAAACTTGAAAGGTTATCTACCTTCTCTGTGCCTCAGTTTCCTCACCTGTAAAATAGGTTTAATAATAGTATCTAGCCTAAAGGAATTTTGGGAAGAGTAAATATAAAATCCACGAAACCATGTGTTTATTGAATACACAGAAAGTGCTCAGCTAATGTTTGATTAATAGTGTTAGGGAAACAAAGCAAAGCAAAAGCCACCTCTCAGCTGGTCCTAGGAAGTTCTCATTAAAGCATTGACTAATAATCAATTTAATCACAAATTAAGAATCTAATTCATACTTTAGCATATAAGCCCCTCCCCTAATCTGTGGCTCTAATTTCAATACACAATACTTTTTTGGTAGGAGTAGGGGCATTGTTGTTACACGCTACTTGTCAGTTTGACAACTGGTAAAAAATGAGGCCTTCAGAAATTTGGAAAAGTGGTCTCAGAAGTGACTGAGCCAGGAACAAAGAGCAATTATTTTGATACTTATGCCTTTTCACGCTGACATTCTTGAGGAACAGATATGAGAAAACTTCTAGCGCAGTGCTGTCCAATAGAACGTTCTCCAGTTACGGACGTAGTTACCATCTGTACTGCCCAACGCGGAAATGTGGCTAGTGTGTCAAAGGAACTAAGATTTAATATTATATGATTTATTTACTTTAAATATCCCCACGTAGCTAGCGGCCACCATTTTGGACACCACAGTTCCAGATCGCCTGAGATGTGGGCAGGGGCGTCCACTCCCGAAGGGTAATGGTCTCTAGGCGAAGAGGGTGTCCAGATGAAAATGTAAAGGTGGACCCTTAAATATTTTAATAAAAACCTGTGAGGACCAAGACAAAAGGGAATTCCTTTTGACATGTTAATGATTGTGCCTCCTGAAAAGGGGCAGGTTAAAGTTCCAGGCAGCAGAGGCTTAGCCAGGAAGAGCGATGATCCTGGGAACGGGGCGCGGATGCTCCTGAAGGGCGCACAGGCGCCGAGTGAGTTCCAGGTGAACTGCGGGGCTGCAGGAACCAGAGGCGAGCTGTAAGGTATGTGCTGAGGTGTGGATGGATTTATTAATGTAGACAAACAGGATTCCCTGGGGAACAGCATAAGGTGACTACGGTTCAATTCAGCTGGCAGACTGGTCAGAAAGTCATTAGGGGTTAAGTTTATGGCTTAAACCCAAAAAATTGACCCTGAGTAAAGGCAGATGACTAGGCCTGAGAACCACAGGGGGAGGAGTATTAATACTTTAATCAAGGAAAATCTACTTGGTAATCACTTAATAGCCTCAAATTTCCTTTCAGTAGAGAAAACAATTACATATGTTACTGCTTCTGTATGTTGGATTACAGCGAGTAGGTGATACAAGGGGAAACGGCCAGGGAAAAGGCAAAAGAGCAAGGATTCAGTTTGGCAGGAAGATCTCTCTCCCTTTGCCCTTGGTAGTGGCATAAAAAAAAAAAAGGCAAAGCAAAACAAACCACAAACCCCAAACAACCATAGACAAGGACTGATGAATGAAGACTACCCTGTCTCTGTGCAGGAAGGGGGACGTGCCTCCATTTCAGCAGAAGATGCATGCAAATCTCCCATTAGGAAAACTGACAGTGAGCTTCAGTGAATCCTCCACAGCCTTTGATGAAATAGAATTATATTTTGGCATTGGACTTTCAGGGGTAAGAATAAACAACAAGAAAATAAATGGAATACTAAGGTTCTATTAAAAGGAGAAAAAATGACAGAATATGGCAAAATGGACAGAAAAATTTAATCTATGCCTTCTATAGCTACTGTCATTTACAATAAGAATGGTGACCCAATCAATGGCGTCCCAAGAGGACTCGTGTGATGATAGGTAAGTTCTGTTCTGTGCTGTCCGATGTAACAGCCATTAGCCACACACAGCTCGTGATCTCCTAAAATGTAGCAAGGGCAATTTAGGAACTGAAAATTCAGCTGTATTTAATATAAATTTAAATAATACAACTAGGTCATCAATCCTTATTCGAAGACATTTTATTGGGCATATTGTGCCAATAATCTAAAAATGGGAAAAGATACTAAAGCATTTCAGGAAGGACTTCAAAGGAGATGTCTGAAAAAAATCTGGATAAGTCATAATTGACTCTGGAAATCATTTCATTTAATGCACATTCTGAATAACTGGGATTTTAAAATATTCCTTCTTTTTTTTCATAAAGATTATTCTAGTTCATTCATATGTCATGTAATACTAGGGAATATAGTCCAAATGTTATAATCTTCATTCTAATACACATTGTTTAAAGTATGTATATATGCAAACAAAATATATGCACATTCTCAGTTACCATGTATGTGTGTTATTAAGATGTTTGCTACTCTCTCTTAACACTGGCAATTGTTAAGATAGTTAACCTGTGATTTCAAATATCTTAAGCAAACCTTACAGAAAAACGATACATTGTTAATACAGTTCATTGGGAAGTTAAGAGAGCTGTGCTTGTCCAAGGAGGGAATTAAGTGGAAAAACAGAGTTGCATAAGAGAGAAATAAAGGCCAGATTCAACTAGAAAGGATGGATGCATCGGCTCTATGCACAACAACTCAGGAAAATTAGCAAGCATCTAGTACAATTTAATTTTTGAATAGCACAAGCACCTGTAAAGTGATGTTCTAAGTGTCTGGTACAGTCGAGCCGCTGTGAGCGAGCGTTTGTAAGTGCTGTGCTCTCTGCATTTGCTAAGGCTGAACGTGCTCATGTGCTGCTGCCTTTACTGAAACTGCTTCAACTAAGCACATGCAAGGAAATCACAAAATTTCTAGGAAAACTCAGAATGTGGCAGCAGAAAGGAATTTCACTATTGATTACTAGTCTCCAAAGAGGAAGAGAGGTGGCTTCCGGTTTTCCCAAAGTAAAGGCAGAGTTGGTATTAAACAGGGTGTCATATTTAGAGACATAATATATTCATGGTGTACTGCCCTGAGGCCCCGCCGCACTGTTTCTATTGCACTGCTGCATCAGTATGCACTGGCATTGCGATGTCTGCCAAACGCTGTAGTGAGGTGCCCTGTTCCAAGACTATTCTGTGAGTCTGGTTCAGATGATTAAAATGGCTCTTAGAAAGCTGTCGACAGCATTGCTGTTTGGTTTAGCAAAAGGAAAACCAAAACCTGAAAAGTAAAATTTTAAACAGGTACTAACTTTTTAGTTTACCTTTTTATGTAAAATATATTTTGAAATGGCACGCCTTGGTTTAACTACAGAATGTGTGAATTCCCTTTTTATACCCAGTTCACGCACCATGGGAGGCCAGAGATATTCATTAAATCTTTGAACAATGCACATACGTTCCTATTTATATGCTTCAGGAAGAGTTCAGATCTCACTACATTTCTATTTCTAAGCATCTATATAATATTTATTTTCTTAATGAGACATAAATAATGAATAGTACAGCTACTTTGGAGTAAATTAAAGTGAAATATATTTAGTGTTTATGTCACTGCAAAAAAAAGATTAGGGTATTTGTGATATGTGATTTCTTTACAATAGAAGATGATAAAGGGGAGTAAGGGTAATAGAGGATTATGTATCTTCTGTTTATAATTCTTATTTGATACCATGATTTTTAATATCCTATTTACTCAACTGTTTATAGTTCAATGCCATGGAGAAAATATTCTGTTAAATTAATTCAAGAAGTAAGACTGTTTTCTTTACTTGAGAAGCATGAAAAACTACTTTAATTTAAACCTTTTTGTATTCAATTCAATTTTCAATTGCTTTAATTTCAAGTATTCAGTTTTAAAAAACAAACATTTTACAAAGTTTGAACACTAGAGGGCATTTTTGTTTCTTGAAATAAAGGTTTATAATTTTTAAAAAAGAGGCCGAATAGTGAAACACTTTTTGATTCACATTTTTCTGTGTGTTGCATGTTGGTACTGCAAGGTTTTGGAGGTGGTGATTTTTGTTTTGGGGTTGTGATTTTTGTTTCTATGTTAATTAAATGAAAAAGCACACGTGAGGCGACTAGGGTAGTGTCTGCTACATAATAAGCACTCGGCAGATGTTTGTACCCCTCCTAGGACTCCTTTTGTGGTTTAACTTCAAGATAAAGACTGACAAATCCTCAAAAGGCTCACTGCTCAAAAATACGTGTATTTCAGAGTTATATGCATTAAAAAATACTAGATTTTCATATTGACTCATTGGAAAATGCTTTCTTTCTGAATTTATTAAATAGTTCTGCTTTTCCTTGATTATAGGAAAGCTAACTTGCTGGTGATAGATACCTGGCCTATTCACTTCTTTAAAGCCTTAGTTGGTCAGTACTGAAACTCTTTTGTCTTCCTTCCTTCCTTCCCACTCTCCTTTTAGAATCTTCTAAAAAGTTTGCAACAAAAGGGTGTGCTGATGATGAGATAGAGAAAGCCGAGGGAACACCAGCTCGCTCGTACTGTGCAGACCCCTCACCAGGCAGACAGCAGAGTGGGTAGCTAGGGCGGACCCGCTTCCTAGGGCACACCCTCCAGGTGGTGGGGTCGCTCCTCAGCTACCATCCAATTACCTTTCCCTTTTGGGACTTTTCTGAGGGGGAGGGAAGAGGACAGAGGGAGGAATGAGAAGGGAGGGAGCTTTTGTTATCTGCTGACTGCACTGCGGTCTGGCACTCAGTCTTCCTGGCTTCCAGGGAGGCAAGGCTGGGGGGGAAGGCAGGGCGTGGGGAAGCCCTGCCTGCCCCAGCTGCTCTCCTTTCCAGGCACAGATTCACAGTAGGAGCTGCTGTTTTGGGTGGGCAGAGTCCAGTTCAGGTTAAAGGGTAAGGCTGGTGTCCATTCTGTGCAAAGAAGGCTTTAAAGTCCTATTACAGCTGATTCTCTGAACCTCACCAAAGAGGTTTCTGATGCCACCTCTGAAGTGGCACCCCTCTTTCAACTGGTAAACAAGGCAGTGGTCACCAGGGAAAAATTTAGGAAAGAAGGAGGGGGAGAGTTCTCCTCAAGTTACAGTCAACTGGAACCTTTTCAAAAAAGTTTTATTTCCTAATCCAAAATTAATTTCCTCTATGCTTTAAAAATTCCTGGTTAATATCTATAGCACATATTAATCTGACATATGGTTTAATTAGTTTTGTAAGGACATTCTTCCCATCAGATTGTATTCTTTGAGATTCAGATATGTTGTATTTATCTTAAGAATACTTTGTCCTTAACCTAGTGCTTTGCATCTAAGAGACTGAGTAAGTGTGGAACTGAACTGAATTAATTATCATGTACCTCACTGAATTTTACCACTTTATTGTTGGAAGAATTAGGAGAAAAGGAAAGTACTATCTCTAGTTAGATGAACTGAACATTAGCCAACTAAAATTAACTAATTTTTCCATTTGAAGCAAACAAGTAAAAGAAATAGGATCTAAAGAATAATTCCCATAAACCTAAGCATTATCATCAACTACACAGCTTCGTATGTTTTACCTCTTCCCTCATCACTGATGGGCTAATCTTTTGATGTTTTATATGATTTAAGAAAAATTTTTAGTTTTAATTTGTATACTTCTTTCTTCTCACAAACCATATATGTCCTGTAAATAAAACAGATAAACTAAAGATCAGCATAATTTTATTTCTAGTTTAACGTAAGTCTAAAAACAGGGGAAGTCTTATCCCATGCAGAGGTACTAGGTCAATAGCAAGCAGTAAAAGAATGCACAGGACACTCAATCTTGGGTTCCATTTCAAGAAGCAGCCATACTGTGCAGAAGCAGGCACGTTACTGGCCACTGCTTCCGATCCTGATGGTGTCACCTTCGGCAGAGCTTGACTTAGGGCAAAATGTGGGTGGCTTTCTCCTCCCATTCTATCTGTAGTCTGGTAGATCCTCAGGAGCATAGTCTAATGATGGCAGTACATATGTGGGGGCACTGATCCTATGAAGATGAAATTAGTTTGGGTTTTGAAATCCTTTAGGCTGTAGTTCAGTTCAGACAGTGTGCATCAGCATCACTAACAAAGCTTTTCCATATCTAAGTACGCCCAGCCTGGCTCCTGCAAATTCTGATTCACTAAGTGTAGGAGAGTTCCGGGACACTGTATTTAAAAAAATGCTTAGGTGCTTCTAATGTGAAATACTAGTTCAAAAAAAATCATTGACTTATGTAATAACTCCTTGAGAAAAGACACCATTGTCTTTTTGCTCTCTCTGGTACCTAGCAAATTGCCATGGCCCATGGTAAGGGCTGCTCAATAATTGTTAAATGAACAAATTATTTTATTGCTTCTCTTTATGCTCCCGTTTACCTCTACGGCGCTATGGGATGATGCCGCCTTTGCCTAACACTATGATCACACCAAAAACTGCTCTGGATAACCAGTTCAGGTTCAGTGTAAATAGCAGGTTAACAGACCATCAATACTGGCTGTCAGTCTAGTGCACGAAGGACATCTTACCGATTATTCTCTGAGCCTTCAGGACAGCACTGAGAACAGACCTAAGACATTTCAGTAATGTGAATACTTGCAACAACTATCAACTATGCAGACTGTTTCCAGTATGTTCCTTTACATTAGATGTTCTCTGGAAGAAAATTAGTATTAGTTCTTGGTTTTGGTAATGTACACAGAGTAGGAGGAAAGTAAAAGTTAATTTTTTCCATTTTTTCAAAGAAATTCCACTTACTTCTCTAACCTTTAAAATATTAACCTATTGATCTCTAGACAAACAGTCATAATAATGGCTTTATGCATTTATTCTAATAGAAGAGCTTCAGAAATAAAATCTGGATATAATCATTCAGTCAAGGGAATACTTACACTCTCACTCTGAAAAGGATTTAAGAAATTTCCCCCCATTTCGCCATCATCCCTTGGAGTGCCCGGTTGATTACTCAGGCTCATGTTATTGGGAGAATTCTGTAAACAAGATTTAGAAAACAGAGCATTGTTGAAGATTTTAATTTCCCTCTTGCATTGTACTGTCTCAAAAATGGAATCTATAGCAGTATCTCTAAGGACAAAGCAGACTTATAATTCTAATCTTAGACTTCTACCACATATTCTAGTTCATTTTCTTCATCTTGACAAGCACTAATGCTTTCCCAAATGAAAATTAAAACTAAAAAACCCTCAAAATAGCCCACCACAACTGTTTTTCTGGTCTTGGAATCAATATTTATTCAATTTTTCACGCTCAGCGTACAGAGCTCCTAGACCTCTGGAGCATTTGGAAACCGCTGCCAGCAGGGGCATGAAGAGGAGAGCCCACCCACCGGCTAGGCCTGATGGGCGAATGGCTTCCCTTGGTGATTTTATTAATAAAACTTGAAAAGGTCACTGTTTGAACAACATTTCCCCTTAATTCTACATTACTACTTCAACTATTCTAAGGTCTGAATCATAAGGAAAAAAGGGAGATAGTAACTATAGTTAAGAACAAGAGAAATATCTTAGGGCTTGAGAATTCAGTATGCACTTTTAGAGGAAAAGAGGGCTTAAAGTAAACTGCTTTGGAACCTTTTCCTGTTGTTCTGAGTAGAATGATCTGAAACTTTCCTTTATGATAAAATGGCTGATATTAGCAATCCAATCTAAAACTAAATTAGCTGTATATTGCTTCATATTCTATTTAAATTTGCCCACCTCATTATTACTTTGCAGTTTTAGCCATGCGAGTCTATATGATACTCCACCTCAATAGGAGTACAGAGTGGCTGCCACATGAAGCCTGTTCACGCAGTATTGCAACTACAACTGAGGGACTCTTCCAAAATCCAATTCATTGACTTGTGAAACTAAACTTCAAAGTTAAAAATTTTTGTTTGTTATTTCAAATGGAAGGAAAATTTTAGATTTTTTTCCCCCTAAGCCATTTCCATTTTATATTCTGTTTCGGATAAGTTTTTAGACTTTTTAAAGAAAAGTGTTCTGAGGATTTTAACTTATCTAAAGCCAAGTTATGTCACAAAAATTAAAATTTCATGAATGAGTTATTCCCAGAAGAGTATGTGCTTTCTAATAATATGGTTAAACAGTAAAGCAGAGATAGGTAGAAGAGCTGGTAGAAATCTTGTCCCGCTGTGCACCCCACAGGGAGGATCTGAGAACAAGGATCCTCTGAGACCCACAGGAACTCCATGTGCCAATGAACGCCAACAGCTGGGGAACCACAGTTTTATAGCATAAAGAGAACTCTATTTTTTTGGATAAATTTTTCCTTGAAAATGTTAGTTTCCCAAAGAATACAGAAAAATGTTAGTGCTTTGAAATGAACATGGATAAATTGATGTCCTGAAAAAAAATTTTAAGTGAATTTAATGAAGTGTGTAATATTTTATAACTCAATTATAAAAGTTATTAAATAATCAACTGTACGTTGAAAACAGAAATGATAATGCTGACTTAGTTCAAGAAGAAAACTAAATTTATAAGAATATTGTATCTTTTTGGTGGAGGTAGATTTCTGTCATTTTTTTACATAATAGAGAAATTGGTCATCTCAGAATGAAAAATCTAACATATATATATTGGTATTTAAGGGTATACTTGAAGCTTATGCATTCTATCAAATGTATGAATGAGCCCTCCCCATCCTTGTGTAACATTTACATGACGTGCACTGCCAGGAGCTGTGTAGCTCTGATTCACTTGGGGGTGTTCTTGGTCTCTGCTACACTTTTGTCATGTGTCCTTGCTTGATTTACTATTTGGAAAGTTTAGCTAACTTCAAATCTAATTGTTGACTCAAACTCTTGATTTAAAAAGATTTCAAATTTGAAAGTAACATTGCATTAATATATTTAAATACTTACAAAAAAAACATCTCTAGTGTTTTTAGTTCTGCTTTCCTCAATCTTTTCATAGCACGGCGGCTCTGCATTACATTCTTTTTAGTAGGGGGGTTATATAAGAACTTTGAAAGGAAGATTAAAAGAATATATTCATCACATAAAATTGAGCTAATGTCAAATATCTGAAACTTACTCCTCTCCAGCTCACTGGGCATATTTGAAAATCTTCAAAATGGGCAAGTCCAAAGGAAATTGTGCTAGTCATGATCATTGAGTTACATGATGAAGATATAGGCTAAGGACACACTCAATTTTGGCATCTGAGAAACAACTAAGACAGTGGTTCCTAATACCAGCCCAGGTTATGAGGGGGGTTTGGCAATGAATTGTGTGTTACCATTTAATTGTAGCTATGTTTGTGTGCAGTGTATCCAATAGATTTCATCATAAGGCAAGAACATAATATACAAAAAGGACTTAGATTGGTCAAAAAGGCATTGCAATTGCTTGAGCACATAATTAGGGAGTGGAGTACAACAGAACACAAGTAAAGATCACTTCTAGCTACATTAGGTACTTTGTTTGTGTTTCTTACTTCAGTTAATGTGTACTTCATTCCCTGCTTATAATCTAAGAATTCAGGTTGAAAAAGTATTGTTAACATTATACTGATTCAGTCTTTAATGGATTTTAATACATTGTCATTCACCTTTTCTTTAAACGGGAATGTTTTTCCCCTTACTTGAGCTACGTCATGTATGCACACACACACACACACACACACACACACACACACAGACACACACATTTCCCCTATCTGACACATTTAATTCTCTTAGGCTATCTATTCTCTGATGTTATTGCAAGTATTGTTCTGTGTCATCTCTTTATTAGTAACATTGTCTCTTCTTCCACTCATCCTCAGAAGTTATTCCAAACCTTTTCACAATGCTATTGAAAAAGAGAGTACTTGTAGAAATTTTGAGCCTGCCTATAATTGGAATAAAATAATATTGATATTATTCTAAGCCCTCTAAAAATGAATTTTGAATGGATTGCTCAGAGGCTGCCAATAATGAGTTTTAGAGAATGCTTTGATTCTGCCAGCTCCCCCAAAGAACAAACTGCCAGTCATGTTCTTCCAGGGTGTACAGATGAGCTAGAACTCAGGCCACATACTTGAGAAGATGGCAGAGATCAATAGTTGCTGATTAGCTCCCTTGTGAATGAATGGTTTGGGATCTTTAACTGGAACTAAGTTTCTGAGGACAGAAAGCTTCAGATGGGAAAGACTCCTCTGATAATTTATTAAGTATGTTATGATCAGATCTTGCCTTCTCTGGTATGGTTTTCTCAGATTCAAAACTATAAATGTAAGTATTTTAATGTGAACTGTGGAATTTACTTAGGTGATTTCCTTTTAAGAAAACAAACCATGTGCACCTCTCCACCCCCAACATATTCAACAACTCTAAGGGAAAATAGTTTTGTTCCATTGATAAATGAGTGACTTCTCAGTTGCAGAAGGGATAAAAAGAATTTCACATTTCATTAAAAATAAGGCTTCCAAATTAAAAGTGAATCCTGTATTTTGAGAAAGATGCATCTGAGTTTTAGGTAATCCTCAACTGAGCAAGAAATAATTTAAAAAGTTTGGAGCTTTGAGCTCATTTTGCCACTGAAACAGTGCTACCAAAGTGCACTGACAGTTGAGTTCCTAGCCCACAGAGGTAAAATAAATAATGAGAAGGAGGATATTTATGTAGTGCTTCATAGCCTTTAGCATATGTTCCCACTTGATTCTCAACAATTTTATGAAGTAGGCAGGGAATGAACTGTAAGCTCTGTATTTTAGCTAAGGATACTAGGCATAAGAGAAATTAACATGTAGCCACAACTTTTAAGTAAAAAACCGGCTTTCTGATTCTCAATTTGGTATTTTATTACCTTGCATCTAAAATTAATAAAATAGTTATGTTTACAATAAAAATGTAGAAAAAAAACTAAAGTAGTACTAATAACATTTAAAAGAGGAGCAAGTCATTAAAAAATATGTAAATAATTGTGCTTAGTGGAGACATTTAAAAAAAATATGTAAATAGTGGTGCTTGACAAGATATAGGTTTACTTGGAGAACCCGGAAGATGTGGCTGGAGACCTTAGAGGATTTCGAACAAAACTGCTAAGCTGCAATGGTCAACATTACCTTTTGATTCACAACCAAAAATTACTAGAAAAATAATAGGATGGAAAGGAACAAACCCAGAAACAAGAGAAAAGGGAGGAGAGAGTTTCTTGAGACAGCTGGTCATGTGTTGGAGAAGGAAGAAGGGAGAAATGGAATTAGGGACAATGTGCATAACTCAGAGTAAAATGAAATAACTGGGCTCTCAGTGGAAAGAGGTAGGGAGAAAAATAATTAGGGTGGTGGTGGTGGTGTGTACTATGCACGATGTGCTGATTAGAGCAAAGCGACTACAGTATGATGGAGATGCAACAGACATGCCGCACACCACTATCAGCCTGGCTGGAGCCTGCAGCCTATGAGCCTGGGGCAGTGCAGCAATGGGATGCTCTGGAGCTAATCTGAAGGCAGATGCAACTAGTCATTTCTAGTACATTGTTATGTGGTATTTTATTACTTGGGGATAATTCTTATGTTAATTGAAATGTATTTGAACTTTGTAAATTTTCCTTAGTGCATCTGTTCCATCTTCTCAGTTATACTGAGCTTCTTGAGGGCAGAGACCATATCTTGTTTATCTTTGGATTTTCTGAGCTCATCATAATGCCTTTTGGTACATTAATGTTTACTGAATGAAGGAACTCCTGCTTAACTATAAACCACCTGAGGACACAGATTATGTTTTTATTTAAAGAAGTATTTTGTATCTCCCCACAGTGCACAGGTCAATACCCAATACAGGGAAGTACACAATGGGTGGTCTATTAATGATTAAAGAATAAGAAATACATCATTAGGCAAGCGAATGTTATCAGCAATAGGCTCAGGGTAGTGAAAAACTTGTCATAGAGAACAGGAATGGGAAAAGCAGCACAGAAGGAATTTAATGGATCTCATATGAGGACAGATTAGAAGATGGCATTTAATTTGTCAGTATGACTCTATTTAAAAATTTTAAGTCCTTTATAAATTACAAAATAGTTTCCCATGTTGAATTTTGTTTGGGTTGTTTCAATGGGAATTTTAGTAAGATGGCCTTAATACTCAATTTGGATGATCCTACCTTTGTGTAATAAAGAATCATCTTTAGATATAAGAATGCTTCTCAAATATAACATGAGAAATTTATTGGTGAGCATAAAGCACAATTCAACTACTACCACTTATTAGATAACCTCAGATACCCAATACAACCATGGTCACCTGGTTGTAAAGGTGCTTCCCAGGAAGATGGCTCTAATGGAATTACACAGTGAATCTTATTTTGAAAATAGGCTTTTTGAAGGTATACCTAATACAATTTCTCATAGAGGTAAGTCACTGCTTCTTATAAATATTTATCTATTTTTAGAAAAGAAAAAGACCTTCTTGATTATTCCTAAACACAAATATCCAAAGTGCATCTAGAACTTGTGAGGCGAAGCAGCCAGGGAATGAAGAAACAATGTCAGAATGCCGATAAAACATTTTCTTAGATTGAGGTTTAATGTAAAAAGTTTCGTAGCTCAATCTTATTTTATTTTCCCTGGCATCAGGAATTTTACATTATTATACCTGAATATAAATTAGAAGTAGAATTAAAAGTGAAGTCATCCTTTAATGAATTTCTGTATTTATTGAGCAGATTTCTGAGAGAGTCATTCCAGTGGTAGCTAATAATTAGTTCTTATCAGCCATTCTAAATATATTTTTGACCCACAGAAAACTATTTAAAATTCATCATGACCTAAAAAGTATTTAGGTATTCTTCAAAAATAAAAGGCATGTTAGCAAAGGATTAATTTTAGATAATCTACTTAAGTAGGAAAAGACACATGCTATTGGAAGGTTCACTTTTCTACTTGTATTAATATAATTTTCCTCTAAGCACTTTCTTATTCTATTTTGGGGAACTAGAATAATGACTGAGGACATCAGCATTGCCTAATGAAGGTTTGAAAGACAATGAGATGCTCTTATAACATATAACCACTTTTTCCAGTTTACCTCTTTGCATGTTGCTGTAGACTGCACATTTTCAAAAGATCTAAACTATCAGTTTGCTTTACAAATATATAACATCATAATGTGATGAAATTGGTTATTACTTGGGTATCATGTAATTAATCATGTGTAGTATGTCCTATAAATTAATCTTAGCATGTTTAGGAACATTCTTAAAAGACTCATTTACTCTTTCCCACAGATCATATGCATTAAAAATTTTAACTTCCACTTAATCGATCTGGACTCCTGCTTTCAACCTCTTGTTTTAGAACAACATTCATACAGTTATTCTAAAAATCTTAATAAGAATTCCATGTGGAATAGAATACATATAAAAAACCCCACAGAGTATATACAGGGTACTTACCTTGGAAATACTGTCCATATCTCCTGAGCCTAAAACAAAATATGAAAAGAAGGCCTTTATTAGGTAATGACTTCATCTGTAAATTAAGTACTCCTTTAATATAAATAAATGTGGTGCACTGCTTGTACTTTTCAGTGTATATCACCTGAATTTCTTAATCTTAAAACATTCTTCTTCTCTTACACTGCATAGAGAGTAAGTACCATCTGATGGCAAATGCAAGGACAAGCTGTACCTCTAGTCAATCATGTTTGTTTGTTTTTTTAATACAATGGCAGAATGAAGAAAACTTTACATCATCAATTCCTGAAAGTAAAATATTAGAGAAATCATTTGAAAATTACTCAATTCTAAATTTTAAAATGTATGCATGTGTATACACATATATATAAAAATAAGAGTGCATGAGGTATCTCTATATTTTCTGAAACTATGCTTCAAAAACTGGTAAAATATAAGTGGATATTTGTAATGACACCTAACAACATTCTGAACCATATTTTACTATAATAACTGAAAACCAAATATTTTTAATATTATTAAAAACTTGAAAGAAAGCAATATTCATGGCAACCCATCAAAAGTAAAAATATCTTCAAATTATAATTGTAGTTTTGTTTTGACTCTTGGGAGAAATGAACAATCAATACTAATTTTCTTATTTTAGAAATGGAATTATACATCAGGTAAAAAGGAACAATAATGAGAGTTTTGCCACAATATTAGCTTGATTTTTTAGTATTTTAACAATTTTATTGGCATAAAAATATTATACTGTTTTAATAGTACAGCATTCAGTGAGTAGTCACAAACAAAGTTAGGGTTTATTAACATGATTAATTTGTAAATAAACAGGCATTACAAATTATTAAATACTGAATGTATATGTGTAATATGTCTTTCATTATAGAAAATAGTAAGCCATATACCAAACACATGTGAAACTCTCCTGCCAATTCTCCTCTAGTGAATAATACAACTGAAAAATCTTCTATGACCAAATATCATCTTTTTTTTGAATGATTTTACAAATTATAAGATTGGAAAGTGAATTATTTTGTAAACATTGGAAAATAAAATTCTGGAATGGTGCTGTCCAGTAGAGCTTAGTGTGAAGTTGGAAATGCCTCTCTGTGCTCTCCACGAAGGTCACCATGAGGCTGTGCACACTCCATATGTAGCAGTGAAACCGAGAAACTGAACTTTAAATTTTATTGAATTTCAATTTAAAATTAAATAGTCACACATGGCTGGTGGCTCCCATAATTGGACAGTGCAAATTAAGATTTAGAAATCTAGGCAATGTAAGTATGTGTCCTTAAAAGCACAAGTCTATCAGTGTCTTGCAAATAATTTGATTATTGACGTTATATAACTCTTTGAAGTATCAGAGGGTGACATTTCCTGACCTTGGGTGAAGTTGTGAAATGTGGGTGTAATAACCTAAGTTACTCATGACACAGTTAACTTACTGCAACATAAGAAGAAATGATCCCTTTCCAAAAGAAAAAAATTACCACAAACTTCCACCTCCATTGTCAACTTTTAAATTAGTTTATGATAATGTTGCTTAAATATATATAAACATAAATTTTTGGGTTTTGAATTTGGCCTGTCTATACATATATGGTGCTGTGTAACCTAGTCAGTTTTATACCATTTGTCTCTAGTTCTCACTATTGTGAAACTTGCTATTTTCTTTGCAGATATTTGGCTTTATCTGGTGAGAAGGCATTATTTATGTCTTCAACATATTAAGTATCTTTTCAACATTGGTTATACTCTCAGTTTTATCATGAACTCAGAAAATGAGAGCAATATTCTCTTTGAGGAGAATTATTCAGAATGTGATTACTAATTTTATTTAAAAAAGAGACAAACATAAAATACAAAAACCAAGTTAAGAATTTCTTGCACAGAAACTAATGTTCCTCTGAGACTGTGTCTATAGACCTTTGGAAACAGAGAAACTAGTTGGGAAAATATTATAGTCTTCCAGGTGAGGCATGCATGATATGTGCCCACAGCTTTTAACATAAAACATCCAGATTTTCATAAAGTAAATACCTGTGAATATGAACTAGGTTAGAACAATTCTCACATTTCTGATTTGCAAATCACCTCTAGTCATTCATGAGGCAGAAGTTGAAGCACTTCAAAATGAGTTCCTATGTATGGAAGAACTTTGCAAATCATAATATTCACTATAAAGAATTAAGGTTATATTATGAATTTATTTCTAAATATCAAATTTAATATCCTTACCCAAAGAGCCATTCATGTGATGTGACTCCATTCCTCCTAATCCACCCATGGGACCATCTGACCCAGGGCCCATTGGAAACTTTAAAAAATGAAGAAAATGACTATGATCACATTGAAAACAATTGTTTATCTCAATATTATAATATCTATCTTTAACATTATAAGACATTTCCACAACTTATTTTCAAGCTATGGAGGTTGTATTCCTAGATTTTGTCAGCCTTACAGGATCTCTGACTGGACTGCCCTACTTCCCTGTGTGCTGCATCTTCAGACTAACCTTCATTCATATCCAGATTTTTCTTCTGTGAATACTTTCAACTAGAAAGCACATACACTCCAGAGCCAATGAGAAGATAAGCATTCTCCTCTAGGCGACTGACAAATTTTGCTATTATAAAGACCAGGGGTGATTCAGAAGAAGCTACCAAAGGCATAGGCTTATTAGTAAGAATAATTCAACATTATTATGCCAACACCAACATTTTTCTTAGCAGACAATATATCTTTGTTCAAATGGACATAATAAATAATTTCATCTTGCAGATTAAATACATTTAGCTCCTTTGGGAAAGCTGAATATAGCTAATTCTTCTTGGCAGTCTCAACTATGTCAGTTCAATGACAATCAGATACTCTATAGTAGTTATATTTAACATTTTTAAAAGTAGTGAGATTATTTTATTTTCAAGTGAAATCTTACATTGGAAGCCCAATATAAAACAGATGAGAATAGGCATAGTGTGGCAGCATAGGCTGCTGGTGGCGAGTCCACGCCCTTCGTACTTAGTCTTTTCCTCATTTCCTTAGAATACTTCTGAGGCAATCCAGAACTCAGTTTGAAGACAAAATATCTATAATAATTATTAAAGACAGCCTACTGAAAACACTTGCTCTTAAAATTTCCCAGGCCAGTCCACAGAAGATTGAATGTGGTATGTGTGTATGTGTGTATTTATGTGTGCAGATGGGGTGTAGAGGTTACTAATTATACAGGATGTTAGAAGAAAAGTAATTGCCCTCAGCAGACAACCTGTAACTTATAAATGTATTTCTCTGTGGAAATAAGATGGCTTTCCATCACTGTGATCATATAAACCACGTGCTTACATATATTTCTCAGGATAATGCCATTTCTGTTGCCTAAAATTCTGTTGCTTTAAAGGACATGGATTGATTTTCAGTAAACAACCTGGAATATGTATGCCTCAAGTGATAGGTTAAAGAAATTAACTTTGAATTTATTGTTGTTATCCAGCTTTTGTCAAAAGCATAGTTTAGATCTGGGATGAGAAACTGATGCTGGTGAGGCCAGGAGCCTGTGAGTTTACTTGGTTTGGTCCTGTGATCTGGTCTCCATGGTGAAGGCACTAAGACTACAGGTGGGTACACTGGATGCACCTAACACCGCAGTCCTGGCCCTCAGCCGACCTTTGGCTGAGATGAATGACATTTGGAAAAGTGACATGTTCATCTTCTACTTTTCTTGGATCCCTTTCCTTTGTATAGACTAAGTTAGGAAACAAGAATGGAACATAGTGGGATATCAGCTCAGCTGCTCACAGAAATGCCTTTAATACCATATGCTCTTGGTTTCCTCCTTTTCAAATTATCAACTTTTAAGGTATGAAATTTCAGAATGAAAAGCTTTCCTGTATTTTTGCTGCATTTCTAAAATGAACATTGTTCATTATCATATTCAATGTTTTTTAAGATCTCTATAAAAATACCTTTTAGATATTACTGATAGGAAATGTTTTCGTTTTCCTGAAAAGCAATTTATTTGGTTGTATAAAACGAGTAGTGATAGCTGAAGGCAGTACCTACGGCTTAACAGAAGTAAAATGCAAGGCACAAACATGAACTTACTAAGTACAGTTAGATTTACTAGCAACCATGATTAAAAAGTAAACAGAAACAGGTGAAGTTAATGTTAATAATATATTTTATTTACCCTATTCTCAAAATAGAGCCAATATAGAATTTTTAATAAAATATTTTACATCTTTGTTTGTACTAACTCCTCAAAGTGTGTATTTTATACCTACAGCTTATCTCAATTTGAACTAGCCATAGATCAAGTATCAACCATGCTGGAAAGATTTAAAGTTTCTTTTGTGGTCTTCATTGCTAGGAAACTCAATTATAATAATCATTTCATTCCTGTTTTTGGTATACTTACAGGCATTCTTTTATGTCTTTTAATTTTTCTTTAATTTGAAATACTCTATATTAAATATATCTATGTATTAATTATATTCTGTTATAAATTTTTTTTGCATGTAGATCTTTTATAATAGATGAATAAAATATTTTCTTGTAAGCTTTTGTGGAAAAATAACAACCATATGATTTAAGAACATCTAAATTCTTATATAGAATTTCCTTTGTTCCATATTTAAGCTCCACATTTCAAAAATTTAAAGAAAAACAAGCATACCCAGCTTCTTGATTTATTTTCAAGTTTATCAGGATAAAAAAAAACAAAACAACCACAGTGAAGAAATTAGTGATGCTAAAAAATGAGGTTAACATAAATTATTATACATTGCTGTCATTTTCAAATAGCATTAATTATTAAGTATTTGAGATGAAATAAAACTACACACCAACATTTTACAATTGATTAGGTTCATATTTACATTTAAATTATATTGATATGAAATGTTTTGTTATAATGTTATGTATTATATTTTCTTCAATCCAATACATAGAAAGAATTTGATTCTTTTGTTAACCAGTAAGCTTCCAGATAATAGAATATAAAATTTAACTAGTATGCAGGTAATGGAATGTACTTTGAGTTTGAATCTTTAAACTTTAATATCTTCCAAAATTAAAAAAAACTCATATTTACATTAGGCCTGTTAGGTCCAGGAGGTACTGCATTCATTAAAGTATACATGTTGTCTCCAGAGTTGGTTGAATCTGAAAGAAAATATTACTTAATCAATACATTTTTAAAAATAATCTACACCCAAGTCATCAGAAAGTAATAATCAATGATCTGGACACATACACATATTAGTAAGGGCAGGCCTTGAAATAGTCATTACTAATGTTCAGAAAAAAATATCTGGAAGTCATTTTCTATTCCAGAAATGATCACTCTGCAATCTTAAATTAGAAAAATTTGCTTAATATATTAAGAATAATCACTTGAATGATTCAGGCCAAAAGGAACATTACTTTAAAAATATAAAAAATTCACAGTAAAGCTTTTCTTTTTTTAAAGAACATGGATTTTTTATCTCTCTAAGCAATTTATATATATATAAACAAAAATCTCTTAAAATTTGGATTCAGTAGATTTTCAGTTTTCATTTTTTCCTTAAGCTTCTTATACACTAATTTAAAGAGGAGTTTACTTATTTGGTAATTAGTAATAGCTGGTGGAATACCCTGGGTTATTCCAACAGGAAGAGGTTAGAACAAGACTGTGCAATTAGAATGAAAGATTCTCTTGGTCAAAGTAAAAGCCAGCCTCTTCCAGTATAACTTCTGATAAAAATTTTTTTCACTCATTTTATACTTGACTCATTGTAATAAAAATACAGTGTATATCTATATAAGTATATGTAATGTTTCATTGTATTTTTAAAAATTTACACCTCATGTCTTAGATGTTTTTATAACATATAACCTAGAATGAAAAGCTAAACATTTTACATTAAGGAAATATCATTTATGAAATGTTTTTCCATGTTTTCACAATTACATGATTTTCTTAAATACAGTTTTGTAGACCTTCCTATGCTGAAAGTAAAATGTGTTTCAAATTTTTTGAACTGATTCAAGGCAGAAGATAAAAAATCATTTGCTTTCTCTCATGGCAATAAGCATAGAGTGGGAAATAGGCAATTACCTTGCCTTTTATTTTATAGTTACTTGTTATACATTAATAAGTTTATTATTTTAGTGCATATCATTTACAGAGTATGTTAGATGTTATTTATTGGTGGTTTGTAAACAGTGATTCATAAATCTAAATATTATTTCTCACATCTAGATTAATATATCACAGTGTTGATAAAGTTGAAATGTCCACTTCAGACTGAACACTACTGGTTTACACTAGGCAAGGTCCCAGTCCACTTTTGTGGCCTTAACTACTTTTTACAGCCTCATGTATGCTATACTCCCATCAACCCACACTACTTGTTTTATCCTGTACATGATCACCCTTTTTCATCTCCATATTTTTGGTCTTTCTTCTTCCAAGTATCTTCTCCCCAGTCTCCATCTACTGAAATTCTACTCACTATTCAAGGCTCTTCCATGAAGTTTTTTCCCATGATACTTTTAAAGTGCATGAGTGCTCCCCATCACTGAATTCTGCTTTTCATTATAGTTAATATCTTATTTGTCTTGTTCTTCCCTCCTGCTTCCAAGTAGCTTATAATAAGTTCATTGAGTGAAGGAAAGGGACCTTGCCTTACTCACAAGTGTGTGCTATTATAGGCAATAAATATCTGCTAACTTAGATTTAACTAGTGGAATAAACTCTATGCTGAACAATGTATCTTTCAGAAAATCTTGGATTGCTTTTTAAATATAGGTACACTTCAAATGGTTTTTCATCTTTATTAACCTTACTGGTTTTATTTAACTAATTTTAGTAATTAATTTGAAAGGAAAATGGACTTTTTAAATATGTAGATTTCAAACACATTTTAAATATGTAGAAAGACAAAAATTTGCTTTTAAGATCAATCACAAATATAATTTGATCTGAAAAACAAAAAAATGAGAGGAATAAGGTTGGTATTTTCCAGGAAATGTTTGACTTCTTTTCATCTACAGAACAACTTTACAATAAAGTAGACCTTTTGGCATCTGTTTTTTGTAGGTAAGGTATTGACTCATGTTAGAGGAATGATTGTCATACAGGATGAGTACATAAAAGAGTATACACAAGGCCAGGAAGATACACAGGGGGCAATTTCCAGTTTCAAAGGAAGAAATGATCAGATTATTTATCACCTGCAAAAATTAGATATTTCTCTAAATAATTCCTTTTAGTATTGTGGTGCTTATTAATCACATACTTCATAAATTAAATATTAACTGTATACCATACAAGAATGCAAAAGTGGGAAGATGTTCAGTTCATATAATTCTATCTTTAATGAATTGTTCTACTTCAGTGAAGATGCTCTGAGGACAGAGATCCATGAAATGTTTATGATATATTCCAAAGAGTTAGTGAAGTGCAGTAAAATTTGTCTTTGTTATCAATTTATGCTTTTTTAAAATAAAAAAACAGAACTAAAAAGTTATTGTTTATGGTTATGATTAATGACATATACTTTCAAGCTTCTGTATGTCTTAGGTTTCAACAAATTAGCTAAGAACATATGAATTTAACAGTATAACATAAATTAAATATTTTCTCTAATTATAAGTTCCCCATCTATTTTTTTACCTTGAAGCTATCACTGTAAAGTCTTAGCCTATTTCTTTGTTTTCTACTTTCTAGATTTATGTTATTTATATTTTAAAATAAAATCGTGATCATGTTGTATTGAATCATGAACATTCATTCTACATGCTGTTGAAAAATATTTGATTAAAATTTTACTGGCTATGTTATAGTCCATAAAAATTAATTTATTAATTTCACTAAATTCAGATTAGGTTTGAGGGTTGTGCCTATTACTTCACTATTGATTATAACAAATGAGCATTCTGCTACATAAATCATGGTTAGTGTTTAATTATTTCTAGTGGTAGTATTACAGAGTCAAGTGGTATGAGCTTTTCATGGTTTTTGATACGTGTTGCCAGAACAGCTTCTAGGAGAGCTATGGCAATGTAAAGTTCCACCATCAGAGTCTTCAAGACATAAGACATTTTACAGTCTGTATTAAAGTCTCAAAAAGAAAGGAAAGGATAGAGCTATTTAAAGTAATTTATATTAAATGATTACAGGAACATCAAGGCATTCTGGTTTAGAAAATTGAAAAAAAAAAACTTCCCCCAATACATAGTGGATTTACTAGCTAACTAATAAATACCTACACTTGCATAGGGTAAATAATATTGTAAGCACATCTACATCTATCTTAGTAAGGTAATAGATACAGTGAGTCTAATTTGCTCTATTAAATCTAATGGGTCCATGTATCTCATGTGTTACTTATGCGGAATATTTCTAAGTTAGAGAGTTGGATTTTTCCACAGTCTCAAGGAATCTTTTAGTCAGATAAATTATTGGGAAATTTATACAGATCAACACAGTTTCCATTCTTATTATATTGTTACCCATACTACAGAATTTTCTAAATGCTTAAGGTAATTAGACAAGAGTTATTTAAGAACATTATTCCTTCCTACTTTCTCTTGCTACTCTACTTCTATAACCATCCATGAGATAATACTAACTTGCTTTCATAACAATTTCTATATTTTATGATTTTATTCTATTAATCAAATGCCTGTTGACTAGTTTGATTACAATACCTGCAGGACTAGGCATGATGGGTGTTCCTGGTGGCCCTCCACCTCCTGGAGGACCCTAAATAATTATACAGAATTTCAGTAAAAATAAGGCATTTCATTAAACAATACAAGAAAAAAACAGAAGAAAAGTTAGACTTATCTCTACAATAATCCAGTTTGAAAATGAGGAAATATATTTTCTTCATAATTTATTTTCTTGAATGCAGTTATTTTAATATTATGCAAAATATAATTTAGCTTAAATATACCGAGATGTTTTGACAAGTTTCTAAAAACAATGAGACTTTAACACTGACTTATTATTCATGACTTAATCACATCAGATATAATGAGGTTAAACAGAATCCATTTAGTGGGGCCTTTACTAATCCATAAGATAGAAATAATTCATGTGTATTTGTAATTTAGTTTACTATAATTTTCTTATATTTTGTATCACTCATTTTTATAGGAAACTAAAGACCCAAACACATTCATATGTTTAAAAAAATATATTAGTGCTATTTCTTCCTCTTATTATGAATTATAGCACTCCAAGAGCATGACACCTTTAGCCATCCCATCAATTAGAAATGAGAAGCAATGTTCCCTAATGCTGTGGGTTACTAAGGCTGCAGTTACACTACCAATCTGAAATGAAGATTAGGCAATTCTGGTCAATTCAGTTATTTCAGACAACCAAAATGGGTAACTGAGGCAAACGGTTTTAGAATTTTTCAGATGTACAGTAATCAAATTAACTACTAAGTGTTTAAATTTTCACTTCATTTTGAGTGTGCAGACACAGCACATTAATCATTTCAAATGTGTATGTACTTGCTATGTAATCAACAGCTTACATTTCTCTTCTAATAAAAGTCTATAATTTCATAAAACTGTATGTTAGGCTTATTCTTGAGTGACTTCAAGAAAAACTAGGTTTTACCCAGACTTTCTTACTTTTATTTTTGTTTCATAGAAAATGTGAAGTAGACTTTCTTAGTTTGTATATCGTATGGGAACAATGGGGCACTAAGTTCACAAGTCCAAAAAAACAGCATGGGCATAAAACACTTTTTCCACAGACAGTAAAATGCTCATTGGTCTTCGTCAGCATTCCTTTTTCCCTATTCCAGCTAGCCACCACTTCCAGAAATTTCCTTAGGAGTGACTGTCCTTTTGACCATTTATCCTTGCTTTACTGTTAGACATTTCCCCTTAAATATTATAACAATTATCCTCTAGGGTGGCCTTGAGAGTAGGAAGGATTATAATGTGATGATGGTTAAAAGGTCATTTGTAAATTCAAGAGCTCATGTAAAACTTGCTAATTTGACTCAGGTGCACATGAATTATTGGAAAAATTTAATATGTACTAAATAATAATAGGGAGAAAACTGAGTGTTTCCAATTTCTAAAAATGAAAAAAATCTAAAAAGGCACCCCAAATTACTAGTCATTGTTCTGCTACCTGATTCTCTTTGTGACTCGGAGAAAGTTTAATGTCTCCTTAGATTTGGTGTGTGGTGAGTGGAGTGGGGAGGGGGTGTGGATTATTATCCTGGAGAACTGCAAATTCAAGCATATCATTGAGTAACCGGGAATGGCTTTCTTCATGATTGGACAGAGTGTATTGTATTGGCTTACAGAAACATATGCTGAAGTAAAACACAGCACTCAGGGCAATTTTGGACAGATTGATAACTGTTTCACTAATGAACATCAACATATGTACTGAGGTTGGCAGATGAAAAACTCAATACAAATCAGATGTTCACTTCCTGGCCAATACACAGGGGCTCTTCTTAACATCTGGACAGCTATTTCATTGCCCAAATAAAATGTAACATCAATTCTTATGAGCAAACAAACCCAAATGTACTTACTACATAATTCCCAGGAGATGCTGAGGAGTATGGTATCTGGAACATGAACAGGACAAAAAAAATATATATGTATTTTGATTCACATGGCAGTATGGAGACTGACCTAAAAGGAATCAATTTTCTGACTTTCATCAAGTTTTAAAATGTATCAGAAAGGACAAAGGCATTTATATCTGTCTGAGTGCCAGTAAGCTAAATAAATGCAGTATTATCTTGAATTTATGAGAAAAGAGTGCATGCTAGTCAAGAGGAATTTAGACAGAATTACAACTTCAAGTTATATTGGTTTCAGAACAGTTGTACTCACTACTTGATGCCAATGACACTTATTCTGTAGTTAGATATATATTTATGTAGCTAAAACCCCAAAACCAACCAAATTTACTCAAATTAATAGCCTTTAGAGATGACACTTAGAATTTATGTGCATTGTGGGATGTTCTCTTTTACACACAGGTTTCAAGCTACGACACTCATGCAGTATGGGTCAATACTTGGTGCACAGATCTCTCCTTTCCCCCTTTCCTTTCTACTTAGCTACTAGAAAATAATATAATAAATGCAAAATATTTTAACACAAGTCTCCAAAGACTATTAAATTGTGGGGATTGGATATGGGTAACAAATTCCCTTTTTCCCTTCAAATCAAGTTCTTAACCAAGCTATTTTCTAGAGATTAGAGGATATTAATATAACATCTCCATGATAGTTTAAGAAAACTGGAAAACAGACATTTAAAAATAAGCCCTTTGAATGGGGCTATTAATACAGAAAGTTAAATCCATATAATTAATTTTTTTACACAGGCTCACCAGCTCACTTGCATGAAGATTATGAGATATTTTTTGCTTTATTCTGGAAAAAACCATTAAACTACTACCTTCTCAGAGTCAGATAGTCAATCCTAGACTAGGACCCTCAGAGTTGTGAAAAGATTTTAGCGCCTGAAACCTAAACCCTCCCTCCACCCAACACCTTCCATATAATTAAACATAAAAATAATATGAAACCATAAAGTAAGCAGAAGGAAGTATAACAAAGTTATGATTTTTCCTTTGGTGAATAATTCTAAACTTGGGGGAGGAATATTTAATATTATTTGAAGATTCCTTCATTGTTTGGTGTCCTTGCTTTGCATTTAGCACAGACCACATGTCTCGGAGGCCCCTGCTTGGTCTACCTATGGGCAATTCAGAACTGCAGATGGTCATTACCAGGGTGCCCAGCCTCGCTAATGATGAGGATAACTTCCATGAAGAGTATTGAGATCCTGATGGCCAGCAAACATTTACTCAACTTGGTGGATGAATACTACTTTCCTTTCTTGGGCCCCTTGCAGTTCATGATCTACCATCCATCTTCTGCTTCTTATTATTTGTCACATGTGCACCTACTTTCTCCAAATCACCAATGCATCTATCGGCGCCAACTGCCATATTCCTGTAATTTCAGTACCTGACTCATGTTCTTCTGCCTCTTAATCTTGCCTACCATTATTCTTAAGCAAAGTCAAGATACAATATAACCATCCTTTATCTTTAGAATTTACACTTCACTGCTTCCCTTTCCTTTAAAATATACTTCCCTCTCTTCCATTTACCTCACTAGAACTCTTTGCACAGAGATCTAAACAACTCTCTTGACTTTCTTATTCTTCATGACATTGACAAATATTATTCTATATTCCAACCAGAATCTTCTCCCATCTCATTCCTCCATGTTTACTGAGTCCATATTTCCCCATTTGTTTCCTACTGAATTGCCTCTGCCCTTCTCCCTGCCATTGTTGGCATTTTGTTTCTCTCTCCAATTTCTTAAATTTATTATCCTGAAGTCTTTTTTGTTTATTTTCATCTCTTTGATTACCTCTAGCTATCTTTTCTGTTTTACTGTAGAGATTTGCTGGAGAGAAACACAAAAAAGGTTGACAAGGTCCAAAATATAATCATGTTCTCCAACTTCAACCTAGTCTTCACTAATATCTGGAAGCATTTGGGCTCAGTCTTTATGGGAACCTGGAAGCATTCCAGTGGTATGCCAGTAAACCCAGTAAACTTGGAGGGGTGGGAAATCCCCATTTGTAGCATCTGCCAATTGAAGTGGTATAGAGACTACTAATTCTCTTACTCAGTAGGGCTTGGTGACAAAGGGTGTGGTAGACAAGGAAGAGGATAATTCCCAGTTTTCACTTGGATGATGGTGCTATATATAGGGAATTTGGGAAAGGGAAACATTTGGAGAAAAGTCTGACATGTTGAATTTGAAGGCACTGATAGACACCAAGATAGATCTGATGAAAAGATATTCAGAAATATAGGCCTGGAACTTTTTAGAGATTAGGACTAGGGATAAAGCTTCAATTAAATACATTTCCGTTTGGTGCTGAGCACAATACTTGGTCTAGGATTCTATTAGATTTAGTGATAGTTTAAACCATACAAAAATTTTAAAATGAGGAAAAGGAGGCATAGAATCAGATTTACAGAACATTACCAACTAAGTAAGAGTGGCTCATGTGACAGGAGGAAAATTAGGAGAAAATATCTCCTAAAAAGTCAAACAAGTTAGAGTTTTAAGAAGCAGCTGGTAGGTACAGCATGGCTAGTAAATGCTTAAACTATGCTTATTTTTTAGCCTGTCAGGCTCAAACAAGCATTTCATACTTTTTGTGACACACTAATGCATAAATAATAAAAAGATATGTTAATAAGAATATGGAAAAAATAAACATTATTAAAGTTAAGAAAAGAAATTTACAGACATTTAGAACAAAACAGACAGTAAGTCATTATGTTTGGTTGGTAAGTAGGTCACTAGCAACCTTCAGGCTTTCATGGGGATTGAAATGGGGTGAAAAGTCAATTCAATCTATCTTTATTCATCATCTGCTCTGTTTCAGGCTGTGCATTACTATGTGTAGTAATGAAAAAGACAGGAAGGTCAAGGAATTCATTCATTGTCCAGTATAATGGTGGTAAGGGAGGCAATGTGTGAGAAACGTGGGTTGGTGTTTTGAAACTGAGGAAGGGTTGAGAGAAGTCTTCTATCAGCTACCCCCTTCTAGATCCAGAGAATGGAAGACGAGGGGTGCAAGGCTGTCTTGGGATTTTGTTCACAGGCATAGTGTTGGGTAAAGTGCCAGCCAATGGAAAGAGATAGATTAAAGACTTCTTGGAAGAATGAATGAGCAAGATGTACAAAGAGGCAGGAGAGGTAGAATTAAAGAGAACAGATAGAAGGGTAAGCACTGAAAAGAAAGAACATTTTTCATTCTGATACAAGAGGAAAGAAAGATGACCAGAAGTCGACAATACTGGAGGTGAAGATGAGGATCTGAAAAAATTTTAAGTTTAAAATCATGAGATATTTTTTTTTCCTCTGTAAAATATGTGAGAATTTTAGCTGATAGAGAAGGCATCAAGGATAAGGAGAAAATAAAAGGTAGCTAAGGAAAAGTAAAAAAAGTTGTAGTCAAGCATCAGCAAGAACTCAGCTGAGACTGAACATTATAAATTTAAATTATAATATATTGTGTTAAGTACAATATAGAAATAAGCATTAGGCATTGTGGGAGAATCAAAGGTGGTATTCTATAAATACATCAAATTCAACATGCCAAAAATCAAAGCTGCCTACCTTTAAACCTATTCTTCTCCTATGTATCCAGCTCAGTTTGTGTTATTCCCATTCTCCCTGATAACCTTTCAAAGAGTTGAAATCACTTTCAACTTTTTCCTTCTCTTTATCCCCAAATTCAATTCTATGTGTGAAATGTACCTGTCTCATCCCTTTTATCATTTGCTTTAAAAGGCCTATTACTATAATCTCTGATTTCATTTCCCTGCTGCATACATTTATATACTGTCTTCTTAAAACACAGCTCCCTTCCACACAGATGATAGACTCCAGATCTGTCAGCATTCAAACCCCTGTACACATCATGGTCCCTGCTTTCTTTCATCAGCTTCGTCATCCTCTATGCCTTCCCAAACAATCTAGGCTTTCAGCTACTAAAAGTCTAAAAGGTTTTCTTAAAAAATCTCCTGCATTTACTCTTTTCTTTATTTTTGTCCAAGTTTTTCTCTACCTGTAAGTGTTCACATTCTTCCAATGTAACTGACTTTCTCCTTTCTCACCTCCCCCAGATTCCATACCAAATATCCACTAACATGAAAGGAAAGACGAAAATGCAGATGTGGAAGATAAGCAAGATCAGAGAGCTAGAAGATCAGAAACATAGAAATAGAAGAATCTTTCATTTGACAGACCAGAAAATTGAAGGCCATGTAAACTGTCTGGTTAAGCTAGACAGATAATTCAGGAGGTGTAATGAGAATCTAAATATTCTCATTCCTAATATCCAAGACTTTGGTGCTGTGGTAGGGAAAGAGGCAAGTAAATATAAGATTTTGGGTTTGCTTTTTAAAAATAATTAGTAACATTTTCATTAAGTAGCTTTCTTCAACTGTGAAGTTTAGAATTACCTTATAAGCACAGGTTTACTAGAAATCAGGGAGAGCAACACCAAGATATTATCTGTATCAGTGTAAAGTTGAAAATATTCTATTTTTTTGTTTCCCTTTAAAAAAATGAACATCTATTTGTACAGAGCAGAGCCTATTTGGAGAAGATATTTCTATTTCTCTTAGGCTTAATCACTATAATAGCTCCTCATTTTTTCCCTTAAAGGGATTTCCTCTGTCGTTTTCTTGTCAGGTTAGTGAATACAATGCTGTCCTGAACACTTGCTGTTTTTGCCTACCCCCTCTTCTGCTAACAATTCCTTGAATTTTCTTTGTGAACCACACCTCTCTTATTTCCCCAAGTGGTTCCAGTGGGGCTCAGGGGGTGCACATGTGGCCCTGGCCTGGCTGATAGAGCACTGTACCGTGCATTCCTAACTGCTTCATGAATGAGCATATGACCCAAGCTAAGCAAATTCATCTCATTAGTTATTCCCAATACCTGTGCTGAACTGATAACAAGCTATGCTCTTTTGCACTCCACTGGGAGCTGTGAAGATAAGATATTTGGCACTTCACACAGCCTTCCTGCCATGACAAGGAGAACAAAGGTAAGTGACAAATAGAGACTGGGTCCTGATGACATTTTTTGAGCCCTTAGAGCTGAATATGCCCCAGAGCAAATTTATATCTGGACTATTCAGATACATGATCCAGTAATATCCTCTTACAATAAGAGCCTAGTTTGGTGGTTTTTCTGTATCTTGTAATCAAAAGTGTCTTCAGACAAAGACAGTTAAGATATTTTCAGTAAAATTGATTATTATGTAATGACTGAAATTTGTATACAACTAAATCCAAGTGCATAGCTCCTTGTGAAAAATACAAAAAGGAAGAAATAGTGGATTTGTAAATAAACTTCCAAATAACAATCTGAGACCAATATTGTAAAGTTCAGATTGAAAGAAGTTAAAAGTAAAACCTATACTTTTATTCTGAACTAAAAATATGAATTTGTCTCTAAAAATGTTTCTCCTACTGCCATGTAAAAGGGTGCCCAAAATATCTTTGATCAAAGCATTTTTACATGACAGAACTGTGGATAAAAATTAAGGAAATAAATAAATATATTGTGGATGATGGTAGGCAGATTACTCACTTTCAGAGAAGTGAGTTTATAAACATGAAAGCAGAAAAGTCTAGAATGAACTTTGTTGTGTTGGATTGAAACGAAAGCCTCAGTATGCACTCCTGACTTAATGCAGACAGGCAGATACAGGAAGATACAGATGTGTGCAGACGTGTGTGTACACGCACCCTATATCATAGTTTTGTTGGCTGAGAGGGTCTAGAAGCTATCACTGGATGTGTTCTTCCCACTAAAAGGGGTCAGGGAAGAAACGGCTACTTCCAGGGCTCAGGCTAGGAAAACAGGAGATGCGTGTTGAAGTGCTCAAAGACTAAGGGTTACATGGCAAAAGGACAAATGATCCAACTTGAATGATTTTAGCATTAAAAAAACCTATGGAAAAAAATATGAATACAGAAGTTCATATGATATATATGAGTGAATGAGAGGAGAAGAAAGAAAACTCTTTGTGATAGCAGAAATTTAATTAATCAATGGAGAAGGAAAGATAGAATTAGAAAATAGGCATTTGACAACCAACATAGTAAAAAAAATGATTCAGGGAAGAATTAACAATGGATACCAAAAGTAGCAGATGAAAGTACGAGGAGGGAGAGGATAGGTACTGTAGTTTCAAAGTATGTCTCCCACCAATTAATAATTACAAAGGGAAAAACAGTAATTTGATAGTAGAGAAATCTGAGAAGCACCTCCTTAACTAAATGATCAGAGTTAACACTCCAAGTTATGGGATAAATCATAATCGTATGCCTCCTAAAACAATGTGCTGAGCAAAACACAAAATTACTTCTGTGGCATTCCTGCCAAATGTATAACCTGCACCTAATCATGAGGAAACATCAGATGAAACCAAATTATGGGAAATTCTACAAAATAACTGACTTGCATTTTTTTAAAAAACTGCAAGGTTAAGAAAGACAAAAGGCTGAGGAACTTCTCCAGAGTAAGGAAGACAAAGAGACATAGGTATGAATGTAACAAGTGAAGTGGAATTTTCTTTTGTAACAAAGGACACTGTTGGGACAATTGGTGAAATTTGAGTAAGGTCTTCATATTAGAAAATGGTATTCCATCAATGTTGACTTTCTTATTTTGATCCTTATACTGTGGTTCTGAAAGATTATGTCTGTTTTTAGGAAACAAACATGAAGCATTTGGAGATAAAGGGTTATTATGTCAGCAACTTAAATACAACTCAAATGGTTCAAGAAAAAATGTGCCTATGCAGAGAGAGGAAATCATAAAGCAAATGTGGTAAAGCTTTAACACTTGAAATTTGGGCGAAGGTTGTACAGGAACTCTTACTATTTTGCAATTTCTCTATGATATAAACTTTAATATAAACAATTAAAAGAAAATATATAAAACATATTTGAAAACAGCAAAAACAAAACAACCAGTTCAAAATGCTGCCCTGAGGTGCCAGAGACTAGCTACACAGAGAGAGAATGAAAAGTGTTTGAACAAGAAGTCTAAGGAATGTGGAATTCAAAATAATACAGATAAGTTGTCAGTATAATATGATCAATGATAATGATATTTAGGAGAAAAATCCTTCTTTAATACTCTTAGCCTTGTTTCACATAAGCCTTATGTTTTTGAAACAAAGTTACCAGTTTTCTAGGACTTTTTTTCTTGTTCTTATACTAAATCATTTTCAGAAAAATGGTTTTCCTTTCTGTGCTCAGGATGATGACCTCTTTCTCTTTCTGAGGAGAAAAGTGCAGGACTTCCCCTACTTTTTTTCCCTATTCACATTGAGTGAGGACAGATGTGTCCACATGTGGTAAAATAACAGAAGAGATTGCTTTCAACTCTATTACTTGCCCACACGTGGGCTAGTCAAATGCCCATTGCAGACTGACCATTAGACAGAGGGTTGATGTGCATAGCTTCTCCCTCGTTCCTCGTCTTCTGCAGGATCTAAAATAGTGCAGAGATTTTCACCTGATGTAGTACATTCTCCTGCCCCTAGTGCTCAGCTGCATGAAATCCTAAGAGATAGAGTACCTAAAAACTAAACATCACCAGAATGCAGAACTCTCTCTTCATCTCTGCTTCTATTTAATACTTTACTTGGATAATACACCTGCTAGGTACAATACACCATCTATAATACCAAATTCTGCTCACTTTCCTAAGTGGCTGAGTATATAAAAGGAGGTAGTGTAGGAGCTGGGCAGTGGTGGCTGTGAATTGCGCTCTGGCTGCCTGCAGTGCAGCAGAGGGAAGCTGGTTGAGCTGACAGTGAGGAAGGAGCAAAGGGTCTTCTTGCTCCTAGGTAGGAAGGCTTATATAGTTAAAGTAGGTTATTGATTGTGCTTTTAAATCTGGTTTCATTAGACATGCAGATAATAGAAATTCTTTCCAGATTCTGGCAGTAGGAAGGTTGTCAGAGTTTTCACTGTTATAAAAAAATGTTTTGTTCTGATCTTTATGGTATTTTAATATGGAGTTGAAAGAGCTGTATCTTGAGCTGTTAGCCAGATGCCATTTTAAAGTGAAATCTTGAATGCATTTGAAAGGCAGATAATAGGAAACATGCAAACTGTTCAAAAGCATATAAGTAAACTAAGAATTTTGGAGGAGGAAAGATAATCACATTATAACATAATCTGGCAAAACAGTATTTCAGAAATATTTGTTGAGATAAAATACGTAATTGCATTCATATAATATGTAATATGTATAATTTCCTCTCTCTGCCTATACACATTTTATCTCACACATATACACTGAAGACCCAAATGGAAGCAACATCATCATTCTCTCTATCCCAAATAATTTTATGTCATAGCTATTGAAACTAAGAGAGAGGCAGGTAATATAAATTAATTTTAATTTATAATTAATATAAATTTAACTTTTTCTTTAAAAATATGATAGTTGAGAAGAAAGTGATTTCTGCTTTAGAAGAGAAATGGATTTATGATTCTTTCTATACTACATAAGCCTTACTTTAAATTTTCTTCAACTTTAAAATAACCTTCAACATTGGATCAATTTCATGTTTATTTAGCATTAAGGCCAAGTATCTGCCTAGAAAGGATGCCTCTGGCCAATGACTATACCTCTGTGCATATTGGCCAGAGGCATTCTTTCTGGGCAGATACTCCTAGTCTTCACAAGCTTAACACAGATGCATTTCAGCGTCCTACTGGCATCCTTGACTCAGGTACCTTTATGCAGCACACACACTTTATGTTGTATACATAAAAAGTATACAACAGGCCTCCTAACATATTGAAGAACTCAAGGCTTCAAAGTCAAGAAAGAAGAACATCTCCAGGATCATTAAATTAAAATCATATTAATTTTAATATTGAAAGCCTAATTTCCAACCTGTGCATATATTTATGTGTTATTATTAAGAGAGAAAAATAGTTGTGCAGTCAAACCACTGCCACAAAACAGGTAAGAAAAATTCCCAGTATGTCGGATACATAGATAGATGTGCAAGGATGGCAGTTTAGCCAACAGGGTCCAGGGCAAATGTGTGCTTGCTTCCTGGGGCAGGGAGAGAGCACACCTGAGTGTAGCTAGTACAGCAAATACAATCCTAACAACTCTGATAGAGACCGTGTTTACCTGCTAACTCTGTGATTATTGCAGTTATTTTAGAAGATCAAATCATTTTACGAGAAATGTTTTACCATAAATACAGGCTACTTCAATCACATTTTATATTTCTATTTTTAAAGTCTGTTAATCATCACAGAAAGAAGGTTTACAACAGACCATGAAGTGAAAAAGTTACCTAATTAAAAAAACTATTCATGCTTAAATATTTATCACAAAAAATAAATTTTTGAATGATTACTTTAAAAAAAAGGTTAATATAACCAATTGCAGGGATTTTAAAAGCAACAGATTATTATTGTTGTTAAATGCTATAAAATGGAAATAAAATTAAAAAACATATATGCTCACCGAGTTGGCATTTGTTGGGTTTGGCCAAGGTCTACCACCACCTGGACCCCTACAAGACAATATCATAAATGAAATTTTAACCTACGCTCTGAATGTTAACAAAAAGCAACAACAAATCATAAAATAGAACATTTGCAATTCAGTTACCATGAAGTTCTAGTTCAGCACTGAAACTACTTTCATACTTTTTTATTTGTTAAATCAAAAATTTTAATCATTCCAGAAAACAGTTTTCTTTCCAAATCAATCTACTTTTAGGAAGCCTAGTTTTTTAGTTCAGTTATTGTAATAACCATTGTAAGTGGTAATCACCTATACCAGTAAATATATACATATGTCTAAATTATTACAAAAACATACTTTTAGAGTAAAGACCACTAAATATGAAATTAATATAAACTATAATCTTGTGACATCAAAGTAAGGGCCACCTGTATCTCACTCAAAATGAAAATGAAATTATTTCAATATATTACTTCACTTTAGGGTGGAAGACAAATGTGTCCATAACTTAAGAGGACATAAAGCTTTTAAAGCAAAATTAATGCCTAATTAACTAAGCTAAAGGGCCTCTTGTCTTCATGCTTTAGTATAAAGTGTACCTAAATAAGTACTGACTGATAAAGAAGTAGACTACTGCCAGCTGGTCATCTGTAATTAGGGTCCCTTAAAATTCCCTTTTTCCTCTAATTGCAGTGAAAAGTTTTAGTTAAAAAAAAGCATGTCCCTTGGTTCTACTCCAGGGACCTTAAACCTGCAGTTCTAAGTATTGGACAGAGTCTGTCCGAGTTAGCTATATTACCCCATGTTTGCTTGGAATATTTAGAAATGCTTTTAGTTTTGTTTTGGGATTCCCCAGGGATGTGAGTATCAGGGAGGGGCATGAAAATTCTGCCCCTGAGCTTTATTAGGGAGTCCCAGTACAGTTTCCCCCAATTTCTTGAGGAACAGAAGAGGAAACTAAGAAGCCTGAGGGGACTTGGTCACAGAACTGCGCGCAGGGAGACGGTGCGGGGTGCCTGTATTGCCTCTGGAAACTGTTGCCTCTCTTAGATGATGATGATGATAAGGATTTTATAGTTAACTGCTGGAACACTTTAGAAGGATGATTTTACATACAGGAGTCAATATTCTGATGATAAAAACTGAGGTAAAACATGGGATATGTAGATAAAGTAAAACATTTGTTTGACGTTAATCCACATGATTGATGGTAAAACACAGTGAAGAAATTGGGAAATATTTGTCTTATAACAACATAAAAATATTATATTCCGATCATGGCAAAAAATTGTATACAATGATTTTATGCAGATAGTGTTCTCATAATTTTGATATTATGTTTAAATAAGGACTGTATGAATAAGATTAAAACAATAAAATATTTGCTTTTTAAAATTTGTTTAATATTAAATTAACATGCCGAGTTAAATGTTAAACATTTTTCCATTATTAAATAACAACTAGGTAATATTAAATGTTGTGTTTGTTATAAATAATACAAAATACCTTTCATGTATTTCAATTATTTGACAAATACTAGTCTCAGCACATCATATATTTCCTATATAATTGCACTTTAATATAATAGTTTCTGTATTAATACTTTGTATGGAGGAGCAAAACTGTTTGAAAACATTTAAGTTTCACAAATAGGTTTAATGAAGTGGGGGGTTATAGTAGTGGATAGTTCTAGAACAACTTAAGCTCAGTAATATTCCTACTTTTCTTGAGGACCATTGGTGTTATCAAGAAAGTAATCTGCAAACTACAACATAGGCATTATTGTGAATAGAAATTTCTATATAAGTATAGTTGGAAGTAGAATCAGGTTAGCCTCGTTAAAAAAGAAGAAAAATGGAATTTAAAAAAAGTCTGTATTTTTTGGCAAGGGTATTTGTATATGAAGAAATCAAAGGAACCATGATTATCATAGAGAAAAATCTCTTTTCTTTTGTAATTCAGTCATTTTACTTCAAGATACTAGCTATAGAAACTTTATAATTCTATGGGGTGTGATTTAGAACAAGGTCTAGACACTTTGAAATTCTTAGTCTTCTTAGTTTCTATAAAATACCAAGGAATACAGAATAGAATTAGAAATATTTAAATGCTGAATCCTAAATTCTTTGGAAATTGGCAAAAATGTAGTTAACTTAGAAATATAGTTTCCTTTAAAAATAACCTATAATACACTTGAAAACATTTACATTTTGACTGTAGTTTGTATATTCTACTTTAAATTACTGGAATTGATAATAAGATTTCACTTCTAAAGGTACAATACTAGTTACAGAAACATTAAAAGTATATTCTAATTTTAGATGACACTGTATAATTTATGCTGAGTTTAGAGCATGGAAATATAACAAAAATTATATCAGAATAACCATTTTCTTTGGAGGTGATGAGTATTTTTTTAACAACAATATTGTGAAAATTTTGTACCAAATGTTTTATTCTTCAGTACAAATAAAAGATGCCAATAAAATACAGTATTTAATTACTCTAGGGACAAGAATTGGCTATTTTCATTGTCATTACACTTTGCTGGCAAACAAGAAAAAGTGACAAGCTAAGAAAACTTCATCCAGATATGATTCTCTGAAAGATGTCTCCTGAGCCCAACACGTAAGTATCTTAAACTGTTAAAAATATAGGTTAAAGTAACACTATTCTAATGCCTTTTCCTTACATTTTTAAGTTCCCCAACACTTAAAAATGACAAGAAGAAAGCCAAAAATACCAGTTAGACATACTTATTTGCCATACCATAGTAAGATTTACTTTGTGTTAAAGATAATAAATTATGAAGTGAATTTCAATACAGTTCACTCTATTGAGTACAGTGGAAATAATGATGTTTTATTTTTTTATGTCTCCTTAAATGCACTTCTGCACTGTTGGGGCCAATTCAGTACAAGAATTACTATCTCTGGTCAGTTCTTCCACATTTCAGATCTTTTCCTATTAGATGGAAATATTTTAATTGTCCTTGAAAGATACGCTGCTGTGTAGAAAACTGAAAATTATATTAGACACCAAATGGAAGTTAATAGTAACAATAATGGGAATCTCAATCTTTATGGCTTGAAGTTTCTATAAAAATCATAAACTATATAAATAGTAAAACATTATGTAATAAAAATATTTGAAAGTATCTGGTTATATTTAAATGAGAAACCCAAATCCAAATATCAATGATGTTAAAATTTTTAGTTTTATGTTTAGTATCCATAGCCAGGGAATTAAATGTGCTCATATGTATCTATTTAAGTATACGTGAGAAAGGAACTAGATAATTTTAAGCAGGTATTTGAGTCTCTTAATGGTCACATGAAAATAACTTTTTTCTCTGTACAATAAAAAAACAAGGTTGATCTAAAGTTAATCACATGGCTAATTATAAGGAAGAGTAATATACAAAATGATATTAGATACATTTCTAATATTTAATGATAATTCTGGGTTGAACACAATATTCAGAATGTATGCCACTCACGTCTATACACAGTATTCAAAATTATATTCCTTAAAAGTGATTGCCTTTGAAAGTCAGAATCTCTTAAAATTTACATATATTTAAATCCTATTGGTAAGAGTTTCAGCTTTTGATATAAGCACAAAATACCACTTACTTTTTTTCATGGCTACCATTCATAAAAGCTAAGCCTTTGATGAATTTGAGAAAAGTCAGACTTTATGTCTACCCATTTTTACTTTCAAAGTGAAAAGATGTGATAGGAAAATCTGACCTACTTTTTTCTCTTTTCCTGCTAGTTTTGAGTCTGGTTGGTACCCACCTATTAACCTATTTTCTATTTTAGGCAAAATTGCTTTCCATGAAAATGCTTTCAGAAACTTAAAAAAATTGCTATGTACATCAAAAGGGATTATCTCAGTATATTTGCAATGCTATTAATGATGGCTGAGTTGTCTGATATGTAAGTAACCAAAAATTGGACTAATGGGAAATATATTAGAGGAGACTACCCACAACCCAATTTGGAACACTTTCATTATTCCTGGTAAGCTTGCTTTAGGCCACATCATAAAACCGACTCTCCCAGTGCATTAAGGAATGCCACTAACAAGCAACTGATGCATGTGGAACTTGGAGGGCAAGTTAGATAATTAAAAATAAATAAAAATGCCTTCATATACTGCATTATTTTGGCTGACAGAAACAATTACTCTCTTTGGACTTGAAAGGCCTTTCCAGTTAAAAACAAAAACCAAAAAAACCTTTAGTTTACTCCTTATCTCAACACATGTTGATACTATAGAAGTTCTTTAATACAGAAGATTAAATACTAGAAAGAATTCACTCTGGGTTAAGAGTGGTCCCAATAAAGCAAGAGACACATATATATTTATAAGAGTTAAAATCTCTTAGAAATTACTAGACATCTGTTAAAATCAAGTTAACAATATTCAATTGTCGACTTCTATTGAGTTAAGTTGTAGTCTAGGTGTCAGCATCTCTTCATACTTTTGTACAGACTGTATGGAGCTTATATGCTTATTTACAAAAGATTCACTTTTTATAATTAAGTAAAACATGAAAATCAGGCTAAAAGTTGGCATATATGGCATTTGAAAATGGAAAAAATTAAAGGTTGCAAGGAAGAAAACCAGAGAATATATTGTAAAAAAGAAGCAAACACTACAGCTCATGTTTAGTTCATTTGTATTACTTTCATTTTATACTACACAGGTATTGAGGGGCTCAAATTGTGCTACAAAACCTTTAGGAGAGAAAATAGAAGACTTTACTAAACAGGATAATATAGCATTTTGCTTACATGTTCATTCCAGGCATTCCAGGGCCACCTAAAGCATTCAGTGGGGGTCTCATTGCACCTCCATAGTTCTGTAATGATAACCAAGGGTCAGACTACCACAAAACAAAAAAACAAAACCAAAGAGGAGGGGGGAAAGAAAGGAGAGCAGGTTAATGATATCCCTACATAACTCCTGATTGGATAAGGCCTGTGCAATTCATTCTCTGAAGGGTCCACTCTTGTACTTTTGCTTCTATTTTAACAATTATTTTGGTTTGTGTTTTTTAAAAACCACATGAATACATAAGATCACTGGAGCACGTTGCAGGATTAAGGTATAGTTGCAATTATAATATTCCACATATCTTTATTAATTTCCTAATATCTGTACAACAGTGAACTTTTTCAAATAAAACATTTCATAAATCCAAAACTCTGTTTTTAAAGAAATGATTTAGTCAACATTTTTGAAATTGTCAGACCCAGAACAATTACAGGAAGTCTGAAAAAACCAAACATGTGAACCCAACATAAGAAAGTTGAATGCAAAATTCTGTCCATAAAATAATATATCCAATAGAGAAATGTACTAATATACAAAAACACAAAAATACATGAAAACTGAAGTACATTTAAAATATGTATGCATAAATTATGATACAATAGGCTTCTGTCAATATCTATTATGAGCATTCAAAGGATAACGATGTTTTAATGTTTCAACATGTATATCATATTAGCTTACTTTAGTTTCCAAAAGATTAATTTTGTCATGTCAATATACTTTGACATTATTAATTACTTTTATGCTTGGTTTTCTGATACCACTATTTTTCCAACTTTTCTGACTACTCATCAGAACTACATAATTGTATGTTAGGAATTCTAAATATTTTATCTTTTGTCATGAAATCTCTAAGATCCCAGATAACTAGTATGTTGAAATTCATATGGGTCACCTGGACACAATTTCATGCTCAACATGTCTAAAAGTAAACTCAATATTGTCTTCTCATAACTGTGTTATTTATTAAAAAAATATTTTTTAAATTAAAGAATAGTTGACGTACAGTATTACATGTTTCAGGTGAACAACATAGTGATTCAACAGTGATATATATTATGAAATGCCCACAGTAAGTGTAGTTACCATCTGTCACCATACAAAGTTATAACAATATCATTAGCTATGTTCCCTTTGCTTTCATCACTGTGACTTACTTGTTTTATGATTACAAGTTTGTACCTCTTTGTCCCCTTAACCTATTTTGCCCATCCTTCCATCCCCTCCCCTATTGCAACCACCAATTTGTTCTCTGTATTTATGAGTCTATTTCTGTACTGGTCTTTTTTGTTAAATTGTTTGTGTTTCAGATTCCACATATAAGTGAAATCTTACGGTGTTTTTTTTTTTTTGAGTGTGTTTTTCATACTGTCTTCCTCAGTCAGTTTTGTGGCATCACTTTGCGTATAAACAGTCCAGGCTCAGAACCTCCAGGAGCTCTTTGACGTCTCTTTACTTCAATTCTGTATCCAATCAGTTACCAAAAGCTATTGATTCTACCTGTGAAAATAGCTCTTGAAATAGTTCTTGCTTTCTTATCACTGATCTTTGTCATTTAATAAGACTACTGTACTGTCTTAATTGGTCTCTCTGATTTAGCCTCTCCACCTCCCAATCTACGGTACATATTGCCTCCAGAACTATGCTACTAAAGCTGAGTCCTATTGATGTCACTTAAAAGCCACGATGATCACACTAACTACTCCTCAGCACAATGACCCACACTAACTACTCCTCAGCACGGCTCTATGATGCTATTCACAGATTAGCCCCAGCCAGTCTTTCCTATCATCACTTCTTGTAATTCTCACCTTTTTCACCTACTCCCAACTGTACCCTCCAGCCTACTGGATTTCTTGTGGTTCAGAAACGCACTATATACTTTCACACTCATGTTTAACTCATCTGCTGTGCCCTTCTCTGTAGTAGGTGCTAAGATGATAAGGAAATATTCAATGAGAGGAAGTCTGCTGCCAGAGAGTAAGCCAGTTTATAAATTTTCTAGTTACATGTTTTTCTCATTGTTTATATATTTTTAGTTTCCGGATGTTTTATTTAAATATTACAATTGTACGTGCTATGGGATGGTAGAATGGTTTCTATTCACACTTCAGCGACAGTTTAAAACGATAGCTATTTTCCTTAACCCTGGCTCAAGCCTGGTGGTGGCAGCAGTTACTAACAAGGAGTCTGAGAAGAAAGCTGGTGGAACAAAATCTGAATGGTGAAGTATAACAGAAATGCTTATAAAAGAAAGTCCTCCCTCATTTTTGGTCTTAGGAGATCTGTGACTTTTTTTTTAAAATCAAGGAACACATTAGTTTTCGTTATAGCTCTGGGCAAAGAAACATTGGTTTGAATCTCTGCTTCCACTGCCGCATTTCCTCTGTCCCTCCTTCTGTGAGTGTGATCATGGGCCACTGATTTTCACAATGATTCACTCAACCTTAATGTCCTTATTTGTAAAGTAATAGTATCTCCCTTATAAGCCTGTTGGAGGATAAAATGAAGTAATAAAAAACACCTATCATAATGCTTAGTGCATTAATGGCATAGTATTTGATGCTCAAAAATTGTAGCTGGCAACTCTTTCTTATCATTGTTAATAGGGACCAACTTAAATAAGTCTTCTTCTCATAAGTTTCCCTTGAGCCCTTGACCTTAACAGCATTACATGCTTGTTTATGTAATGGTTTCCTGATAGATTATGCATATTTCTTTTCCATACTTTTTCCCACTGTATAGTAGTTTTTCTTTATGTATCTGAGTCTCCTGCAAAACAGTAAGTAATTTGAAGGTCGAGTGTGTTTTGCTCATCTTTGTATATCTAGTGGTTAGACATCACAGGAAATCAGTGAGAAATTATCCAATACCTAATTTGATAGATCTATAAAATATTTTCATTTTGTGAATAACCTGAAGCAAAAATAAAACAGGAAGATAAGAAACAATAACAATTGGCTTTCCAAGTGGTATCAACAAAGGCAGAATGGGAAGAGCTAATTTAGAATCACTGAATTTTAAAGCTGATGGCAGACATACAATTCCATCTGGTTTAATCATCTCCCTCCCAATGCAATGTTCCTGACAAAATGGCTGTTCAGACTCTATTTGGAAAGTTTATAAAGAGTTTTTCATGATTGGGCAGTTTAATTTCTAGGAAGTTCTTTCTTACACTGAGTTGAATTCTACCTCCTACCTTAGATTTGAAAATACAGAAGCAGTTTACTCTTTTTTTTTATTAAGGTATCACTGATATACACTCTTACGAAAGTTTCACATGAAAAACATTGTGGTTACTACATTCACCCATATTATCAATTCCCCCCATACTCCACTGCAGTCACTGTCCATCAGTAGTAAGATGCCACAGAATCACTACTTGTCTTCTCTGTGCTACACTGTCTTCCATGTGACCCCCCCTTACACCATATGTACTAATCATAATATAGTTTACTCTTTCTTTATATGACAGTCTATCATATACTTCCATCTCACCATTTCTCTACTCCAAGTATTTGATTAAAATCATGATATGTTCCTACTTGTGTATATCTCATTTATCTTTCAAGTTTCTGGAGGAACTTGAACAAATTGGTGAATTTTTCTACTAGTTATATGATACTGAGCACAAAAACACAGACGAAGTATATCTTATTACAAAAGGAAGTAGAAAAATGACTCAAATATGATATTAGGGAAGATATTTTTCTTGATTAAATAGATAACTTTGCTTTTCTATGGAAAGAATAGTGGTATCATTTTTTAAATCATGTATTATCACTGAACTTATATTTAAAATAGATAAAGGAGTGGGAAAAATATGCCAGGATTTGAAACAAACTTCTGCTTCTTCATCCATGCAATAAATATTAATCATATTTTAAGTGTGCACTTTGCCTGAACCAGCATCATATAAAAATCACTAGATTATATGTATTTTTTTGTTCTAGAAATTCAATTGTTCCAAAAGATAACTTCTATCACTCTACTACACTGGTCTTAAGTTTAAAAAACTATGGAAATAATACCTATGATAAAAAAGAGATGCATATTTTGTTTGTACATAAAGCTAGAAGCAATGTTTCAGAGACTATTTCTATAATTTAACAACAATGAAGCAGATGCATATGTTCTCAGGAGCACGTGCATCATTAAATGGCTGTTATGATAGTTCAAGAAATTATCTTTCAAGAAAAACAGTTAACCTTTATTACAAATCTCACAGTTTTATAATACATATGTTTTATATATCAGGTGTTAGGAGTAAATATCTCACAAGAATCCTCCATTCCAAATGATTTTACCTCACTTTTTATCTATTGTATCATTCGTATGAGTATGATTCCTCTTTTCATTTAAGTACATGGTATGCTATAAATAATTTATTTTAACCTTTTATACTTTGTACACTGTCATTTAAAAAAGTTATTGTAGGTTATTTCTAGTTTCTGTGGTAAATTCATACCAAAACACTTTATTTCCCCCAAATTATAAAGAAATAGATAGAAAGGATACTAATCCAAATGAAGAAATAACTATTCTCTTTGGGTTTGAAAATGCAAAGAAAGAATTCACACTTACATGATACACTTAGTTATTAAAGCTCATTAATAATAAGAGATTTCTAACAAACTAAAAACTAATCAGTAATAAGAGATTATTCACCAGAAATATGTTTTCTTATTTTCTCGTGTAATTTACTTAAACACAAAACACATAAACATATAGCTTAGATATTTACAAAACATAAAAAAATAAGGACCAGAATGCTTTTCATTTCTGTATTTTCAAATGAGATCTTTGTGTTCCTAAAACTTCAGTAAGCATTGTTATATCTTTCAAACACTGCAAAACTGACTTTTAAGTCAGACTCCAGTTTTTAAAAGTATTGAAAATATTGGTCTGGGGTGACACTTGTTTAAAAAGCAGCTAGCTGAAAAATAAGGGAACTGAATGAAGAATGATAACTACATTTTAGGCATGAAGTTTTGCATATGTATTCAAAAACGAATCTATTATGAAAATCTTTTGGGAAAAAGACTCATTCAAGTTCTATATAGCCAAATTGGTTGGCTTAGTTTATTAGAGACTAAAAGTGTATTCAATCAAATATTCTATAGATCTTATAAATTCTAATTGCTATTAATAGCTTAATGATAATTGATAACATAGATCATCCCTAATATGATTAAAAATAGTGAAAAATAATTTAAGTATCTAAGTCAGTTTTATAAGATCTTAAGAAAATACATAGAAAATAACTGAGTCTAAATAAAATAAATGATATTTTTTCTGACTTTGCGGATGTGACATATTTTATTTAGTGGGTTTTGGTATCTCTGAAAAATTTGATTATATGCATTTCATGTTTCAAAATACTTACATATGTATTATTGTCTGTTGGTTAGATACTCCTAGTTCTAAATCACATTACCTGGGTGTTAGATTCTTAATTCTCTCACTACTTTGGGCACACCACAAAATGTTAATTTATAAAACATAGATACATGAAAAAGCTCCTAAAACTGTCACTTACAGAGCTATTCTTGAAAAAGATGAAGAAAATAAATTAAGTCCTTTTTTTAACCAGCATTGTGACACACTGATCTCTGACCCATCAGGTAGAAATCTAAAATTCTGGATTAGTTTCTTTGAAATACAACATTATATAGTTAGTTTCTATCCCATGCAGTTTTCCTAAGGGAGACAAGAGGATGCTTTAGCTAAAATAAATGGTATCTTGAAACACCACACTTAAAAAATGTCACCAGCAGCTAGGAAATGGTCAGCCTCAGTGTTTATTCTGGACATTTTGGTGGAGAAATAGGATAACATTTGATGTATACTGATAGCATTTTGTTTGATCAGTAAGATTTATTTTAATGTTTATTTCTAAATGGTTCTCTGTTGTTTTCATATTCTATAAAGAAATGTGATAATATATAATAATAAAGTTAATGGTATTCTTTAAAAGACTTACAGAAACATATTTTATGTTGCTTGTTCTATTTAATATTTTAATGAATTGTTTTTTCAACATTTAACTTACATGGTTATCTTTTATAATAATTGCTATAAATTTTTTATATTTCCTCAATGTAATTAACCAAAAGGTAATAGTTATCTTTTTATAATCATTATAATAATGTATTTCTATGCAATGTATTTTCTCAAACATACTGAACGCATTATGTGATAGCACCTGTTAAAATATGGTCTGTTACATCAGTTTGGGCATGTCACAAGTACGCCCTCCAAAGCCTGGCACCCATGTTACATCAAGCCTTTAGTGCAAATACTGTAGTTTGTTTATATAAGATGAAGGCAAAAAACTCAGAGTCCAGCGTTCTGCACTGATTATTTACCTGTGGTCCTAAGGGCACCATTCCTCTTGGAGGAGTCATTCTCTGCATTGGCCCACCCATATTTGGATGCCCTAAAAAAAACATGTATGAAAATCAGCAATGTAATGAATCTGAGTGTTAAACCAGAGGCTAGTAGCCTCCTCTCTGCTTGGTGGTACAGTATTTATTTCCTAAGGGACTGAGTTACTGACATCATTGCATCTTGGCTTCCTTGGCCAGTTTTCTAATGTTTTGAGATTGAAACTTTCTTTCTATTCTGTATCAAATTACATCTCTCACATGTTCTGCTCCTCTCTCCTTAGAACAGTGTTAGAGAGCCGTATGTATCTGTGGTACCTAAACATCTCTATGGAAGGACCCGATCACACTGAGTTGATTAAACCAATCAAGTCACTCATTGCTTAGCATCCTCTTTTTCTCCTGCTTGTCTTTCCAGTGGACTAACCTCTGTATCTGAAAAAGGCAGATGGAATCATAAGTGATAAAATCACTTTGATTCCCACTTGTTAGAAGCTATATAAAAGGTTTTTAGAGTTACAGGTTAAACTATGCACTTTTGGGTATTTAATTACTCTGTTTCTTATGTTATTACCACCCTTACTATAATGCACAATTAAGAGCTAGCTCAAAATATAAGTAACTTGGCTATGTTACTTGCAAAAATGCAATTGGTATCACTATAGAAGACATACAAACGAGATTTTCCTTAAGAAATAAAGGGTTTCCTTTGTGATTCTGCACATCAAATTCACTTTTATTTTAAGGTAGTCACCTTGTTGTCGAGTTGGGTCCATTCCACTGGGAAGTAATGGCTGACTTCCTGGGACACCTCCAAGTGCCTAGCATATTTATGAAACAAAATAAAAAGCAATATTATATAAATATTTATCAAATAAATGCCTTAACAGTTCTCTTTTAAAATTCCTATAACTAAAATACATTGGAATATTTCCCTAGATTTCTTATATTTCACATTTATTTATAAATTTTATAGGTCTACATAAACCAATATAATTCTTAGTTCTAAAAACACTCTATTTTGCTCTATTTTGTGGCAAACAAAATAAATACATTTTGGGAAAAATAATCTAGGCAACCAATAATTGTCCTATTTCTTCCTAAGTATAATGCCTTTCCCCAAAATTAATTTACTAAGGGTACTGAAATAACTAATTTGCTTCTGAAATGTAAACTCTTATTTCTATAGATTATTTTACTCATTTGAGATTACAATAGCAGCAGAACTAAATGCCACAGGGCCAATGAAAATTTTTTTGAAGTCATATTTTTCCTAAGCAACTATTAAAAAAAATAATACTCCAATTAAGTACAATTTGGCAGAATGGAAAAAAAGAGAACTAGAACTGAAAAAGGTGGAGATTAGAAGACAGAGTTTATTTTATGCAGGGTGTAATACTGGATATATACTGAGTCACAAGTTTCTAATTGAGCAGGACTTAGAGGTGGCCCAAGTTATTACAAAGCCTGCTGATCCTACAAAATATATATAATACATATATACACATAATCCTGACAATTGTCAAGAATTTTTTTAAAGCAAGATTAATTTTGTTTAATTGGTTAAGATGTTCAAACTTGAAAAGAAATTTGATATTAAAGAATTTATATATCTAGCTCAGAACTGTTTAATTAATTGTTACCACTTGAGATACAGTACAGAACTGCCATTTCTCAAACCATTTTTTTTTGCTTACAAGCACACTGAATACCTATTTATTGATTTCCGATTATATGATCTGTTCATTGCTTATCATTCCGGACTAATTTATTGGTGCTGCCACACTGACATTCTAACTTCCAGCCATACCAAACTTCTTCCAGTTTTTTTCAATTCATAAATTCAATCAACAATATCTAAATGCCAACCATTAAAAACAAAGCCTAATTAAACCCTCTCTCCTCCTAAGGAGTTTACAGACCGCTAAGTGCCTATTGTTGTCACATTTTAGATCTCAACATAGAGATCCTTTCCTAACAAAATTCTTCAATATAACCCTGGTCTGGCCTAAGTTCTCCTTCTATTTGCTTTAAAATATGTATGTATTTTAAATTTTTTTCAAACTTACAGGAAAATTGCACAAACAGCATAAAGGATTCCCATATACCCTAACACTGATTGTCCAACTGTTAACATTTAATCACCCTGCCCCGTTACCCCTTCTCTTTCTCTCTCTATACACTTGCTATCAGTCTTTTTCAGAATCACGTGAGCACAATTTGCAGACAGTGCTCCTCCTCACCTCTGAGTACCGCACAGTATAGCTCCTTCAGCAAGAATATTGCCCTCTACAACAACAACACAACTTTTCAATTCAGGAAGTCAGCACTGATACAACACAAAGCCATCCAAGCCACAGACCGCATTCAAATTTTGCTGTCTGGTCAACAATATTTCTTCTTACTTTCTGGACCAGGATCTCATGGAATACATGGTGCATTTAGTTGTCACATCTTTTCATGCTCTTTCAAGTAGGAATAATCCTTAGTCTTCCCTATCAGGTCCTCGACAGTTTTAGAGAGCAGGTCTTAAGTTTTACTAGATGATCTTCTGAGGCCTCTTCATGACCTGGACTCAGGTCACATTTTTAGAAGGAATACCGCAGAAATGATGTTATGCCCTTCTCAGTGTATCACACCAGAGGGCATTACTACTGGTGATGTTAATGTTTGTCATCTGCTTGTTGGTTTCTGCTAGATTCCTACACCATATGATTACTATTTTTCACCTTTGTAATTGATTACTTTTAGCATTAGAACTACTCCAAGATTGTCAATATCCCATTCTTCATCAATCCTTTATCAATCTACCAGCATTAGCATGCACTGACAATTCCTAAGCACTATGAGAGTTGCCAAATGGAAATATTTCATGGCTATCATTCTATTCATATTAGTTGACATTCCACTGTGAGAACAGATTACCTTTACTTATTTATTTACTTATGGATTTCTATTTTAATCAATAGATTGTAATCTATTGCTACTATAATTTAATATTAATTATACAAGATTTGGCCAGTGGAAGGCTCTTCAAGCTGACTCTTTGTCTCCATTTGACATGTGCCCATCAAATTTTGAGCATTTCCTTAACAGCGCAAGATGTTCCAGTTTCATCTCATGCTTTGTCTGGCCTAGCTCTGGAATGAGACCATGCTCCAAAAGGCCCTGATTCCTTCTAGTGGACGACAGCATTTAGGCATCAAGATCTGGGTTCTCAGTGTTCATTGTTAGTGGGGTACCTTCTGTTTTGACCCTCTTAATAGACGCTGGAAAAATCTATGTATATGTACATACATATCACTGCACACACAATTACATTTATGACTAATTATATGCCTCTCTGTGTTTGCATACGATGTATACATTCCACAAATTCACTGTCCAACACCAATTCAGTATCTCCAATTCCAACCCAAAACTTTAAGAACAGCATTCTTCCCTCCTATTCTTGTAAATACTTTCAGTGAAAAACCTGGATTGTATTATCTTCAATATCTTTTACTTACTTGCTCAATCAATGTAATTATTTGCTCAATATAACCACAACGGCTATTTCTTCTTTCTTCCACCTGTGTGTGACTCCTGCCTCCCTAAATGTCTTAGAATGCAGGGGGTGTAAGGGCTATTTATGTGTTTGTATTAGATCTTATACCTCACTCTCTTAGAACTTAAATATGATAATGGCTTATTTTCCTCTACATATCTCCAAGAGACTGTAAGCTCTGATAGAGTGTGGAACCTATCTGTGCCTATAGGCTCAGAATAATATATATTGAAGGAATAAACGAAATAAGGTTTAGATTGGACAGTTTTAGGAATTACCAGTAATAAAGTCATAAAAATCAAATAGATCTTAAAGAGTGAAAAGAAAAAAATCAGAGATATAATTCTTTAAAAATACCAAGAAAAAAAGGTAGGAAAGGAAACTGAAACTGAACAGGTATGAAATTAGAAAGGGCACCAGGACCAACGTTTCAGAATTCCTGAGGATAGTTTCAAAAGGAAGAAGTGGTCAACACTGTCAAAAGTTGTAACGAAGTGAATTAGGAGCAGGACTGAAAATACATGACTAGCCAACATTATCTTCAGTTTTGAGTTTGAAGTTGTCGCTATTTTAAGTTTCTAAGTGGTTAGGATTTTATTCTCTAGATTTTGATTCTGAATTTCTAATTTCATTGGAGACATGATGTTTTAGCACTGGAAACCATTTTCTTAAAAATTGTATTTTTTCTTATTTATCTTTGAATGTCAGAACAATTGACATGGCTCTCTGTTTCTATTCATCAGTTAAAAATACAGCATAATTCTATAGAATTCTTGATCAATGTCAAATTGTCTTTCAAAATGAGTGTCTTACCTAAATTTAACTTCTTAGTTATCAATGCCTGTCTTTTAGTATGTTAAATCTCTAACTTCCAAAACATTTTTATCAGTCCTGGGATGACCAGATGATGGTTCTGTGTATCAACAAGGGCATAATCATTACAAGCTTTAGACCTTTAATAGCAGGAAAAATGAACAACTTTATATACATCCTGTGGGTTGATGTTATTTTCACATTTTTAAAAATGGCAAATGTTTTCCATTCAGATTTCTTTAACTAGTCACAAATTTTGACACACATTTTTTGTTCTATAATGGATCTTCACTCAGACAAAGAAAATAAAACTATCAATGAGGGTGCTTGATAATAAGAAACATATCAACAATAATACACACTTCTGAGCCAGTACATCTGTGCCAGGAATTGTGCTAAGCTCTTTGGATTTATTATTTTACTCAAAGCTTACAACAATCCCATGAGATAATTATTATTAATCGTTTCTGATGATGAGAAACTGAGGATTAATACAGTAGTTCCTCCTCCTCTGGATTTTGCTTTCCAGGATTTTAGTCGCTCATGGTCAACTGCAGTCTGGAAGCAGATGATCCTCCTTCTGTTGTATTGTTAGAAGGTCAGCAGTAGCCCAACGCTATGTCACAATGCCTACGTTATTCACCTCACTCCACCTCATCATGTAGGCATTTTATTATCACACATCATCACACGAAGAAGTCATAGCTGGGCACCACTGGCATTTGGACCTAAGATGCATGACACAATTGAGGCCCTTTTAACAACATCACTTTCATGGGTTTTTCTTCTGTAAAAAGGCAGTATCAGTAAAAGAGATATTAAAATACAGAAATGTTACATTAAGTTAGGATTTTTGTCTCCAAAACACAACTACTTGACATGTATGTTATTTTTCTATATTTCAACCACTGTAACTACACTATCCAATATAGTGGCCCTTTGTCTCATGTGACTAGTTAAATTAAAATTAAGATTAATAAAGTTAAAAATTAGGTTCCACAATCACTCTAGCTACATTTCAAATGTTCAGTGGTGCTCAAACTACTCCAGCTACTGCATATGACAGTATGGGCACAGAACATGTCTATCATCCCAGAAAATTCTACTGGGTAGTGCTACATTAGAATGCCAATTCCACGGGAAGAGGATGTCATTAGTTTGATTATTGATATATCCCCACATTCAGAATGATGCCTGGCACATAGTAAACTTCAAAAAATTACTTGTTGAATGATAGAATATTTCTGAGAGAGACTTTATAGAGTCCTATGAACTTTCCAGTGAAATATATGGCAATGCATTTTTTTGTATTGGCTTGTGTTCAAAAAAGGGAATACCGGTGACCAAATGGCTGTAAGATAATGAGATATGTTTTAGCAAGAGAAGTAAATATTGTATTAAAAAGCTCTGTACCCATAACTTAAATTGAGTAAGATTGCACAGCATTCATTATGTAAACTT